CATTTTTAAGAACCACCATTTTTGGTTTTTGTTTTGATTTTTTTTGGGGGGGTGTCACACCTGACAGTGCTCAGGGCTTACTCCTGGCTCTGGGGACCATATGTGGTACTGGGGATCAAACTCTGGTCAGCCACATGCAAGACAAGTGCTTTTCCCATTGTACTAATCTCTTTGGCCCCTGCAGTGTCACTTTGTATTTGCCAAAGTCTTGTGGTAGCTATGAAATGAAGGGATTCAGTATAAACCTTTTAAAGAAGATTTAGTAAGTAAAGTAAATTTATCAAGAAAAAAATAAAAAAATAAAGATTACCCAGGACAATGATCTTCAGCTATCTTATTGGGATTGTTATAAGGATTGAATGAAGCAATACATAAGAATCATAGATTTCCATGCAGTGTTAATAACTAATTTCAATGAGGATAAAGGAACCATACCTTAGACTTCTGCCCAGTCTGCTTGCTACTCTCAATATGTCATGCTAAAGGACTTAAGTTCTCCTGGACTCATGTGGTATAGCAGCTCTATTATTTAGTATGGCACATAAGTTGAGACAAAAAACCCTACTGATATTAAAGTATTTTAAACCTATAAAACCAGCAATTTCTGGAAGTGGGATTAAATGTTTTCTAGGCAGACTCAATTCCCTCCACCCTGCTCAGTATGCTCCTTCAAATTCCTAGTCTATGAGATAGAGAAACAGTTATGTAACAATTCATTTCTGCCACTTCATCTTCAGTTTCTTAAGTTTGACGACCATGAAGCATCAGGTCTCAGGAAGCGTTTCCAAAGACCATGCTGATTATTCATAGATTGGTTCTTGGTACAGTTCCTCCCAAGAGACATTCAGAACTTCGAGCTTGCCACAAGGTAAGAAACAATCATAGGAAACGAAGAGGAAGGGCAGTTAACATTGGTACCCTGCCAACGTCTAAGGAAACCTCAAGCTTTCCCTAGCGTCATTTCCCCAGATTTTATAAACACATGCTTTCACAAGTCTTGCCGAGTTTGCAAATGCACCATAAAAAAGTGCTAATCAACCCTCCTTCCCCACGCCGTCCCCTCAGACCAGTTGTCCAGAAGGGAAGGTGCATAAGTGCACAGGCTTGCAGAATGTCAAAATAGTCTGGGCTCAGTTCCATTCTGACTTTGCCACTTTATTAATTGGTTTGGGGGCTGGCCCAGCAATGCACAGAAATTACTCTTGGGTCTTTGCTCCGGAATCACTCCTGGTGGGGTTTGGAGGACCAAATGTGATGCTGAGGATTGAACCAGGTTTGCTGTGTGCAAGGTGAGTGCTCTACCCACTATGCCATCTCTCTGGTCCCAACTGCCATTTTATCCTTCACAAGCCAAGAAGCTTTTGTTTGGGACTCTGGTCACCTCCTGGGTATAATGGACACTTAACAAATCTCAACATGTGTACAAAGACATGTCATACTCTGTCAAGTGTCCCAAGAAGATTTGAAATTGGTCCAGGAAAAGCAACCATTTTATCAAAACGCACTTGGCCATTTGAATTATTCCCTCCTCATGTCAGGAAATTGATTGCAGAAGCAAAGTTATGATGATCTGAGGGGATATCATGTATTCCTCCTCTGACTCTTAGCACAGTTATAAACATCTCAGATTCAGCCTTTCAGCCTCTTTGGAGAGGGTTTCTCCTACAAACTTGGCCTCTAACTTCAGAATAATTTTGCCATCTCAGTGGGAACATTGGCATTAAAGAGACGAATAATCTAGAAACATAGAAGAAAAAATAAAAGACAACCAGACTGTCGTTTATTAATACAAATTTATATAGTGGCTTATGCTACTTGGAGAAATCAAAAACTCATAGCACACAAACTGGAACAGGAGATACAAAAAACATCTGAGAATCAAGAAATCAGATTAACAGCACCACAAATGTCTTAACTCAGTTTGAGCGGGTGTGTAGTATCCCCAAAAAACAAATACCTCCAGGACACGGAGACTGCGCGTCATGGACCCACACTGTCCCCTCTTCCCTCTCTCATCCGACGATGGGTTGGAGCACCACGCCAGTCCTCCAGGAGGCTGGAGGCAGCAAGATGGCAGTGAGGCAGGAGAAACTAAGGTGCTGATTCGTTTCACCATCACAGCTGGTATGTGAGAGCAAAGAGCAAGCCCCAGGGGGCTTTTGTTCCTTGTTCCCTAAAGGCTTGGTACAAAAGTTTAGTGAAAAACACACACAGCATTAGTGAGCAAGTGGGGGGCGGGGGAGGGGGGTTGTCACGGAAAGCAGAGCGGACTGTCACAGAATCCTAACCCATTACCAAGTTATCCGATCCCGAATATGAAGGGAGTATAAAACACATCAACATCAGGGAAAAATCTCGCGTCCAAGGCGTCCACCTCAGCCTTACGCCTCAGCGGCTATTCAGTAAGTGTGCGTTCCCGGAAGCAGGGCTGGCTTTCAACCAAGTGTCAACTGGCAGGAAGGAGGGGAGGCGAGGCGAGTCCCAGGGTTTTCCGGTCACACAGGTCATTCAGCACCACAAGATCCCAGTCGCGTTCGAGCAGTGTGCATTCCTGCCCGCTCACTGCCTTCTGCCCCAGCCTGCATTCTTCCCTCGCAGGCATCCTACAGGCTCATCCTTGGGGGCTTCTGCAGGGCAAGGGGCAGCTTCCCCGTGAAGGCACCCTGGCACTGGCGACACTTGTACGGAGTCGGTCAAAACAGCCATCGCCGCCCACAGGCTTGTCTTTCTATCCAGGCAGAACTGGCGCTCAGCCTCTGGGTTGTTGTTCTGTGGTTGTTCTGAGCTGATGGTTCTGAGCCAGTCCTGGATGTTCACAAGGCTTCAGCCAAGCTGGCCACGCTGGGCTCAAGTAGGAGCACGTGACCAGCCAGGAATTTCTGGTTCCAGGTTCACTCCCCCTAATTTATCCTCTTCTGACTCTTCACACTCGTCTTGGAGGTGAAGCCGAAACTCCCTCTCAACGTCCTGCTCTGAAGATTGCTGACACAAGATGCAAGCGTTTCTGCCCAGTGTTCCTTCAGACCACGCCAGACCCCTGCCTGGTGTGGGGGCTTTGTTCCGGTGAGAAGAGTGCTTGATGACCCAAGTAGAAGAAACCATGTTTGTGCTCTTTCCCCCCTCCACTTGCCTTCAGGATGCTGCCACCGTACTCGGCTCCCTGTCCTAAAACGTATTTCTCTGTCACTCACCCAGAGACCATTCATTCTTCAACACAACGGGTATTTCGGGAGTGCTCGTAATGTGCAAGGCACGACAAAAAAAATCAAGGCACAGCTCATACTGGGTCTTCTCTTAGGGAGCTCTGAGTGCAGTAGAAAAGCTAAAACCTTTCGCGGTTCACTTTTCCTAGCTTTTCCTCCCAAAAGGTTCCAGTTGGGAAGGTGCTCAGAGAGTGGGTGATTCTACAGCGTGAATGCTCTGCTCTCTGCGCAGGGACTGTGGGTGCTGGGCGTTAGGAAGAGGACGTGTCTTTTAATGCTGAATCATGGAATTGTACCTCACATTCCAAACCACGTGACATGCATGCTTCAGTTGTTGGCCATTAAGGCAGAGATGAGAGAGAATCACAAAAGCAAGCAGGGTGCACGCAACTTGCAAAATAGTTAAGCTAGTATTTGAACACAAAATCATTTTAAAGCCCATTGCTGAGGGCTTTGCAATGTGCCAATAAGGTCAAATGAGGGCCTGAGCTACCAGAAAAGAATTCCCCAAAGGAGCAATCCCTGAAATACTGCACCAAGAACCAAGCCTGCCCACCTAGAGAGTCCGGGCACTTTCTCTGCAGTGAATTCTATCAGGGCTTTATTTGTTGTGTGGAATAAATTTTTTATTACTGCTGCGAAGACCAGTTGACGCCTATTAATTCAGATTTTACTCTGACCTGGGCTTTCTCCGGATTTGCTTTACTTTCTGAAACCCTAGCAAAAGGCCCAAAGCTAGCAAATCTTGGCTAATATTGTTTAAACCTGGGGTAGCAGGAAAGTGTGTGTGTGTGTGTGTGTGTGTGTGTGTGTGTGTTAAGCATCCATAAATTTTACCACAGAGAAAGATCAGGGTGCAGTGACCCTGCTTTGCCACGGAGGATGTCTGAATGCATCCCCAAGATCATTCAATGAAGACGAGGTGCTGAGACAGTGCCAAGGCCAATGATGGTATAAACTGGCACAAGGGTATCATCCTGGGCCCGGGGGAGAGTCACTGGCATGTTCCGAGCTATTTGCCAGGCCTCTTCTTTCCCAGATTTCAAACCCCCCATCCTGTCCCCCCCCCCCCCACAAGCCCCCAGCCTCCCTTCTGCTCTGATGTCTGACCCAAGAGGTCTGCCTTTTGCTTTTGTTTCTGAGGCCAGACAGGAGTTGTCTTTTGCCTTTTGTTGTTCTTTTTTCTCCCTCGCAGCGGAGAAAGGCTCTAGTTTAGAGGAAGTCCTGAAAAGCCCAGGTGAAAGGGTTCTGGAAAGGCAAAGCACAGCTGGGGTGGGACAGTGGCTCTGAGGAAAGCAAAGATGAGACTGGTGCTGACTAGCAGGAAGGAAGTGGAACTTGGATATCAGCGATTCCAAGGGAGGCCCAGGAAAAGCCAGAGGAACTGCAAGCTGGGAAGGAAAGCGCACAGCGGAGCCCTGCAGACTGACTCTGAGACCTGCCCGTGTGCACTCCCAGGGCTCTGAGCCCCTGCGCTGACGGCCTGAGCTTGGCCTGGCAGAGGCGGCAACATGGGGGTGCCAGGATGACTTCGAGAAATCTCTCCAACGCCTCGACTCTGCCCCTCTGGGGGTCTCCATCGGTTCTTTGTTCAACGAGGTAGCTCAACGGGTGAGTTGATGCCTGTGATGTGTGTGTGTGCCTTCCGCCAAAGCTAGAGTTTTCCCTTTTTCCTCTGCAGGATTTATAAAAATACCAGTATTTCCCTCCCACACCTCACCTCCCCCATCCCACCCCCATCTTATAAAAATGATTTTAGAAAAAAAAAAGAAAAAAAATCCACACAGGTGTCCTCCGTTAAACTTCCGTTCCCTCCTGTAGGTTGTTGTGGACTCGGACCTCCAGGTTCAGTTTCTTCACCTTGGCGCCTTTGAAGACGTAGGCGGTGGCGTCAGCATCGCCCAGCAGGTTGACGTTGCGCACGGTGCAGTACTGTCTGTGCACGTTCTTCTCCACCTGCTCGGGGCTCCGCCGGGGCACGTCCACCTTCGTGTTCAGGGGGTACTCCTCCAGGACGTCCTCCGGGGCTGGCTTCTTCCTCTGCTTCTGGCACTTCCTGGTGAGGAAGCAGGCCACCAGGCACACGAGGAGCAGCAGCATGACCGCAGCAAGCGCGCTGCCCAGGGATGCGCCCGTCTGGGAGAGGGACGCGGCGAGGACGGGCTCCTGCAGCTCCAGGCTCAGCGACTTCATGTTGGTGCCGTTCTTGACTTGGTCCCCTTCGTTGTCGTAGATGAGGGAGTCGTCCAGGGTCAACCGGCCGCTGGGGTCCACCAGGTCCCTGCGGGGGCGTCGCACGGGTGCTGTGAGAGAGCGCTGCACCCGGGGCCCGGAGAGGGTGTCGGGGCCGATGATGTAGATGACCTGGAGGTACCACTGGTGTCCGGCTTCCACCTGCACGAGGAGGACACAGAGACAAATGGGGATGTGTTACAGGGGCCCGTGGACTTCACCTGGGAAGGAAGGATGTGGAGTGGCAGTCATCAGTATAAACCTTGGGAAAGGGCATCAGGAAAAGCATCAGTACTGGTCGGTGGCTAATAGGTGGGGGTGGGACCCACATCTCACCCGGCTCTTGCATTTCCAAATGAGGGTGATTTGGGTTAGCTATTCGCATTCTTTTCTGGGATCTGATCACTGCATGGAAGAGGATTCTTCCATGGTCTTTTTTTTTGTTTTTGTTTTGCTTTTTGGGTCACACCCAGAAGTGCTCAGGGGTTACTGCACTCAGGAATTACTCCTGGCAGTGCTCGGGGGACCATATGGGATGCTGGGAACCGAACCTGGGTCGGTCACATGCAAGGCAAACGCCCTACTTGCTGTGCTATTGCTCCAGCCCCTCTTTCATGGTCTTCTTACTTGAATGTTTAGGATTTGTGGTCTTCTATTTTTAGAAGGAAAGTAATTGCACTTTGGTTTTGTGCCTTTTTTTTCCTGTACTTGTTTTTTGTCTTGATTTTGGTATTGGAGTCACGCCAGGCAGTACCCCAGGGCAAGTTGCTCAGGGGTCTCCCTTGGTGACGCTTAGGGGACCATGCAGTGCTGAGGATTTAACATTGGTCTCCTGCATGCAGATCAGGTGCATTGACCCTCTACATTATCACCCTGACCCCCAAAGTGATACTATGAATAACTACATTTATTCTTGGTGACCTTTTATTGTTTGTTAAGTTAATTTGCTTATTTTTGTTGGTTTGGGGGCCAGACCAAGCTGTGCTCAGGGCTGACCCTGACGGTGCTAGGGATATACCCTATGGAGTGTCAGAGGTCAAATCTGAACTTGTCATGTGCAAGAGAGAAATGCCTTGCCTACTATACTATCTCTCTTGCCCATGAATTTAACAATTATTGATAAATTTCAGCTGGAACAGTCATTCAACAAATACAAAATACCTTTACTGTGCATAAAGCATACTGTGTGAAAAATTGCTAAATCTGAAAATTGCCAGATCATCATCCCTTGAGGTGTTATATTATCAAAATATTTTATTTCCATCTGATCGACACCCTCCCCGCTCCCCCAACTCCAGTGAAATCTTGCAGAGATTTGAATTAACTTTGCAAGAGTTTATAATAGTTTTGGATTCTAAGACCATGGACTCGTAATTAGAGAAAAAAAGGGTGGAGGATGGTAGCTGGTGAGACAGTATGGTCGGTTAGGCATCTGCTTTGTGTGCTGCCGATGCGGGTTTGATCCTTAGTATTCCATATAGTCCCTTGAGCACTCCCAGGTATGATCCCCGAGCACAGAGCCAGGAGTAAGCTGTAAGTATAGCCAGGTGTGGCTCAAAAGGGCAAAGGGGAGGAAAAAGAGCTTTTGATTTTGGAAGCTCATATTTATGACTGGAAGAGATGACTTTGTCTTGTTAAATACTATCCGTTCAGACGTTCCATACCATGAGGTGCTGGGGGTGGGACCCGGGGCTTTGCGTATGCTCTGTCACTCAACGCCCTCCTGGCTCAATTCCTGCTGTTCTAAATTCTACTGGATTTATGCTTTTGTTAAATGCCTTCCACAAGCATACAGAAATTAGTTGACATGGCAAAGAGTTCACCCAGCAGACAATATAAGAATTTATTAAAAATGAAGGTGTCATACGCACTCCTGAAGCTCATGATGATCAGGGACTATCTGCAAATGAAGCCACTTTAAACCACTTTACCATTGTTCTGGTCGGTGAGGATACATGGAAAAATGTGGGGGTAAATGGACACTTTATTTTATTTTTAATTTTTAAATTTTTATTTCTTGAAACATCATGAGAACAGTCACAAAGCCTTTCAGTTTAAGTCTTGGTCGGTCATACAATGATCAAACACCTGTCCCTTGACCAGTGCACATTTTCCATCACCAAGAACCCAGTATACCTCCCTCCCACCCCTCCCCCTGCCTGTGTGGCAGATATTCACTTTACTCTGTCTCTCTACGTTGATCACATTCAATATTATGACAAAAGACTCAACATTATTATTTGGAATTTTCCCCAACACTCAGACCTGAAAAAAATACATCATTAGATAATTTGTTTTCTATTGTTGATTATAAAGAGCATATGATGTTGCGAGGCTGCTATTGCGGACATGTGATTTTGGATTTCTGATATTTTAGTAATAAATCTAGAGGGATTACTGCCAAAAGCCCCTGGGTTCTGAGATTGGTTTGTGTTCCTCTGGAATCATGGTCGTTCAGGTAAGTGGACACGTTAACAGCAGCTTACGACCCGCCAGAAAGGATACTATGAAAGAACAGTCCTTCTCTTGGTGACCTTTATAGTGACCTTGACTCAACGCTCCTGTGCTCCCCATACTCACCTTATAAAGTGCATCTACTTTCAGCGTGAATCCATCCACACCCGGCATGCTGCTGACCACATGGAAATCGGGCAGCTCGGAGGCGAAGTGGGCCTCGAAGGGCACATCGTGGAAGTACTTATCAGTGACCTCCGGCTGACTGCGGTCCTGGAGAGTCAGATAAGGAAACAAGGATTAGAAAGATGGAGCTACTCTATGAGGGCAGCAGCCGGGCAGAGCGGGGAGACTGCAATGCACAAACACGATCTTTTTAATTGAATCACTGTGAGACACAGTTACAAAGCTTTCATGATTTTCATCATACAATGATTGAACACCCATACCTCCACCAGTGCGCATTTTCCACCTCTGATGTCCCCAGTATCCTCCCACCCCGACCCCCACCCCCACCCCCTGCATCTATGGCAGACAATTTCCTTCTTACTCTCTCTCTACTTTTGGGGATTATGGTTTGCAATACAGACACTGAGAGGCCATCATGTTTGGTCCTTTGTTAACTTTCAGCACACATATCCCATCCCAAGCGATCCTTCCAACCATCATTGACTTAGTGGTCTGTTCTCCATCCCAACTGCCTTCTCCCCCAGCACATGAGACAGGCTTCCAACCATGGAGCTATCCTCCAGACCTTTGTCTCTACTGTCTTTAGGTGTTAGTCTCATATTATGTTATTTTATATTCCACAAATGAGTCATTCTATGTCTGTCCCTCTCTTTCTGACTCATTTCAAACACATTCATTATCCACCATTGCCTCTGGGCCCTGAGGTGCGGTTCTAGGCAGGATGGGTGATGCCTCTGCAGTGTCTAAACAGAGGGACAGTCTGGACAACTAGACTGTCAGGAATCGGACCCAGGGGCCACTCCATACTGACGAATAAGACACCTCCCAACTTTACTATTTATGCCATTTCTAGGTATGAATATTCCCTATATCAAAATTCACACTGAGTCATGAAAAAAATGTATTTAGCAACTCATTTTTTTGAAGTTGAAGTTTTACTTTATTAATGTCAAAACATTTAATAGTATATTGGTGCTTATGGAGCAGGGTAATAGAGCTAGATGAGGGGCAATTACAATTTGCATGATTCTTTAGAACTTTGCCTACGAACTTGTTTTGACATGTTTGCTACGAAATAGCAGCTTTAAAAAATTCAAAATCTTGGGCACCACACAAGAGCTACTACTGAGTGACTATTTGTACTTTTAAAATTCTTGAATGATTCATATGCATATGAGTCATATGAATATGCATCTGAATATTAAGGAAGCATATATTTGAAGAGAATTAAGTATAGTTCTTTGGGGGGCTGGAGCATCAGTACAGTAGGTAAGGTGCTTGCCTTGCACACGGTCAGTCTGGGTTCATTCCTGGTGTCTGAATGGTTTCCTGAGCCCACCAGGAGTGACCCCTGAGTAGGCGCAAAAAGTAAGCCCTAGGCACCACCAGGTGTGGTCCCAGGACAAGCAAAATAAACATAGTTCATTTAAAAATGACAAAAAGATTTCATTTTATCATTTTTGTATAGTTTACTTTTTACTCATAAAGTGAATAGTGAAACCTAATTACTTTTTTTTTTTTTTTTTTTTTTTTTTGCTTTTTGGGTCACACCCAGTAATGCTCAGGAATTACTCCTGGCGGTGCTTGGGGGACCATATGGGATGCGGGGATTTGAAACTAGGTCAGCTGCATATAAGGCAAATGCCTTACCATCTGTACTATCACTCCGGCCCCAGGGAAACCTATTTACCTTTTAAGTAACATTTTTTTCTTAGTAAAAATGCCTATATTCAACCCCACCTCCTAAAAAGAGAGGTAGCATTGTCTTTATTTTTGAATCTTTGGAAAAGAATGTCTGTCCTCATAAGTTCTTCTGTATTATCACTGTATCACTGTCATCCTGTTGTTCATTGATTTACTTGAGCGGGCACCAGTAATGTCTCCATTCGTTCCAGCCCTGAGATTTTAGCAGCCTCTCCTTACTCATCTTTCCTAACTCTTTCAGGGTCAGGGGAATGAGACCTGTTATTGCTACTGGTTTTGGCACATCGAATATGCCTCAGGGAGCTTGTCAGGCTCTCCTGTGCGGGCTTCTGTATTATATCAGCTGTAATATGTTGTTTTGGTTAGATATATTAGAAAAATATGGCATTGAACAGCTATGGTGCTGAAAAAGAGAGGCTTTAATATTTTCCCCATATAACTATGGACTTTTTAGATTCCGAAATAAAACTTAGGAAAGCCAGGTGTTTAAAAGATTAGTTACAATGTGGAATTGTGGAGTCTATCAATAAATCTTCCATACTCTCTCCACTCATGAGGAAATGCCTGTGAAAAGTGTAGCAACGTTATATTATCTGAAAGTAGTTTTGACCTTAGGTATTCTCTGAATCATATTGAAGCTATTCATGGGTATCTGGGCCACACACCAAGATACACTGGCCTAGACTTTCTGCTTCTCAGGACATCAATAAAACTTGTTCTATGACATACCTTAACCATTACATTTGTTAACATACACTATCATTTTATTGGTTAGGGAAAAACATCAACAATAACAAAAATATCTACAGAGAAGCATCAGGAGTAGGGTGTGTTCTGCTTTAGGAGAAATTCATCCTGAATGTTAGCATACCAGTAGCAGAAATCTGTGTTTTAGGTGTTTATTTGGCTGAATGCATCCATACTGTGGTCCCTCATTGTAGATTGTCCCCGTGGGATCAAAAAAAGGTACGTAACCATCCTTGCCAGTACAAAGATAGACTTTCTCCAGCTGAAGCTTGTAAGCAGAATTAAGGTTTTGTTCTGGATTCCAAAGCACTCGGCCATAAAGGATTTGACCTGAAAAGATTAAGAGGCATTAATTAGGTCAGAGTTTATAATGAAAGCATATCAGGGGTAGAGAGGATTTAACATACTGCCTTCGAGGCAAAGTACTGCTCCACAAGGAGTGTTATGATTCCATATGCTCCTAAAAGGCTAAAATAAATTCGTTCGGGGCTGGAGTGATAGCACAGCGGGTAGGGCATTTGCCTTGCACGCGGCCGACCCGGGTTCGATTCCCAGCATCCCACATGGTCCCCCGAGCACCACCAGGAGTAATTCCTGAGCGAAGAGCCGGGAGTAACCCCTGTGCATCGCCGGGTGTGACCCAAAAAGCAAAATAAGTAAATAAATAAAATAAAATAAATTCGTTCATTGATTCTTTCATTCAATGAGTGTTTTATGTTTAAGGTGTACCAAGCATTTAGTATATGCCATGAATACTAAGGTATCATAATTCCCTGAAAAGACAGAAATAAAAGCTACGCAATTGCTAAGAATAGTTGACATCTGTCAAACTCATCTTATTTGCTAGGTACTATACTAAGTTGTTCCTGTGTGAGAATTCATGTCATTCTTACAACAGTAGAGGAAATTGAAGGACTGTGGGATTAAGCGACTGGATGAAGGTCACAGAACAGACTCTGAAGTCAAGGTACTTGGCTCTAAAACCCAGACCATCAGCACCCCCTTGTCTACTGCTGGGCCCCACGATAGAAGATACAGCTAGATGAGCCATTTGCTCAGCTCAGGAACCTGCCTGGGGAGAGATTTGAGAGGATTTGATAGGGAAAGATACGAGATGTGAGCAGTATAGGAGTAGGGCTGAAGTAGCACTTGTTAAACATTTGTTAGGCACTGCTGAGGTGCAAGAGCGAGACTCAGAAAGAGAATCCCCACAGGAAATCCACACTCGACAGACTGAAGGCTATTGGTCCCAGTGGAGTTACTGCGTTCTTAGGGCTCCTATTGGGCAAATTCTTAATTAATACTATGATTTAATTTTCCCCAAACCCAAGTGATAAGTTCTATTACTAGCCTTATTTTAAATAACATGGGTAAGTTTTTCTATCTGTGGCATGGGGGGAGGAAGCCTTGAGTATGAATCCATCTGATTCTGAACACTCCTTCAGATCATTTGCTCTGTGGCACTGAGGAAGCATTTGTGGCCTGAGTGGAGCATGTGGAGAGGCCTGGACTGAGAGTCTCAGGATGGTGACATGGGTGCTGAGGCTTGGACCTGAGTTTCATCAGTGTAACAGGAAAGCTTTACCTATTTTAATTTTGTTTTGATTTGTATTGCAGCAATATCCGGCCGTGCTCAGGGCTTACTCCTGGCTTTGTGCTCTGGGATCACTTTTGGTGGCTTTCAGAGGACCAAAGGTCATGCTACGGATCCAATCTGATGTGCAAGGCAAATATCTTACTCGCTTTATGGTCTCATAAGCATAGAGACACCTGAAATTAGCTCTAAATTGCATTCAACAGGGGGCTAGAGTGATAACACAGTGGGTAGGGCTCTTGCCTTGCATGTAGTCAGCCTGGGTTCAATCCTTAGCACCACATATGGTCCTCTAAGCCTGCCAGGATAGATCCCTGAGCACAGAGCCAGGAATAAGCTTTGAGCACCACTGGATTATGGCCCCCAAACAAAATAAAACATAAACTTAACACACCGGTGCTTCAGAAACATGGAGAATAAAGACTAGGATCACGGAGATGGTAAGTGCTCTGCCCCTGAGTGCTCTGCATTCCTGACCCTCAGAGGAATATTTTGATTATCCAGGGAGATATCTATATCTAAAATACAGCTTCAAAGCAGTGGGATGAACTCAAGAAGCATATGTGAGTTGGATTTCATTTATCTTAATATTAAGAATGTAGGAGGTGATGGTACATCTACACAATGGAATACTATGCAACCACAAGGAAAAAATGAAGTCATGAAATTTGCTTATAAATGGATGGTCATGGAGAGTATCATGCTGAGTAAAGTGTGTCAGAAGGAGAGGCACTGACATAGAATGACTGCACTCATTTGTGGGATATGAAAAAATAGTATAAGACTAATATCCAAGGCCAGAGAAAACAGGGGCCAGGCAGACTGGTCAATGGTTGGAAGCTTGCCACAAGTGTGTGGGGTGAAGAACAGTTAGGATCGAGAAGGGAGCAGTATGGTAATAATGCTGGAAATAACAACTCAGGACAAGAAAACGATAACTCAGGACAAGAGTGCTGAAAGTAGGTAAGGGAATATACACGATAAAGCTTTCAGTATCTGTGCTGCAAACCATAATGCAACAGAGAGTGAGAGCGAGAGAGAGCGAGAGAGAGAGAGAGAGAGAGAGAGAGAGAGAGAGAGAGCGCCTGCCATAGAGGTAGGTTGGGGGTGGCAGGAGGGAAATGGGACATCGGGGGTGGGTAATATACACTGGTGAAGGGATGGTGTTAAAAGAACTGTATGACTGAAACCTGGATCATGAACAACTTTGTGACTCTGTATCTCACTGTGATTCAATTACAAAATTAAAAAAAAATTTTTTTAAAGAATGTAGGCAGTGTGCTCAGTTCCAGAGGTAGAGTAGATGCCTAGCACGAGGGACCCTCTGAGATGGACTCCTTGGATCTCTTGGTCCCCTGAGCACAAGAGCAGGTGTAGGCCTTGGGCAAATGAAGAAATGAAGGCTTCGAAGGCCTTTGCTAGACTGTCTGCTGTGGGGAAGGAAAGTCTCTTTGAGGAAGTGAACATTTGAATATGCACCTGAGAGAAAGGGTGCGGCTTTTGAAAATGTAGGGGAGCTCTGATTGGGGCAGGGAGGGGTCAGAGTGACCCTTTCAAGCAGAGAGAGAATGGTGGGTCCAAGTATGTCTGGCATGAGGCTAGGGGATGACGGGGGTCACACCAGGCACCAGCGCCTTACTCAGAATCACGTAGTGTTCCTTTGAATCAGGTCAAAGATTCCAGGTTTCGAGCAGAACAGAATATGGGTCTGTGCCCCAACAAACCCTGAAACTGAGCCCAGGGGCATCTTCCCAGAGAAAGTGGCCTGAGAGGTGACGAGCAGAGAGAAGCTGGGGAATCCCTGAGAGTAATCTGCAGGGGAAGGAAACACTTACCTTTTGAGAAGGCGCCTTTGTAATCCATTTCTGCCAGGGACATATCAGACGTGTTGGGATCCATCAGAAAAACCTTCTCGTTGTTACAGAGCTGAAATTCTGTGTTGAGTGAGTACACAACTGGCACGGGGCGGTTGGTCTGCTGGAAAGCAATGGGTATCAGGAACCTAAAGAGGAGAGCGAGAATAGAGTGAGAGCGGGGTCCACTGCGTGTTTGTTGATCAAGCTGCCCTCTTTCCCACTATTATCAAAGGCCGAACAGTTCTTTGTGGCAGGTGCTGAGAATTTACTAAGTTAAGTGATGTATAAGGGTATTAGTTTGTTATTTTCAACAGGAATAAGCTCATTTGTCTTTGCAATGCTTCAATACGCCATTCCTTGGAATCCTTTGATGCTCTAGGCCCCTGGAGTCACCCTCGATTGCCCTTATTCTTTCCGCAGTATAAGACTTTGATTCTTTCAATGTGATCAAAATGTACTTCTGAGGCTAGTGAGATAGTTCAGTAGGTCAGGTGCTTGCCTTGCACATGGTCAACCCGGAATCGATCACTGGCATCACATATAGTCCCCTGAGCCTTGTATTCTGTTTCAACTAACTATTAGTTGCACCAAGAATTCATTTATCTGACTCAGGGAAACAGAGTCAGATACAGTCAGATACAGCTTCTATTTCTATAGCATTACCATATAGTACCAGGTGTGTAAGACAATAAATATTTGGTGATTAAATGGAATGAATAATAGACTTAATATGATGACAATTATTTATAAAGGTATAACATGGCAGGACTCAAAAGATATATAGTATGAGACACAATTCTTTTGAATGAAGTCTGAATTTGAGTCAGTCTGAATTTGAGTTCAGCCGTATGGACTGCAGATGTATGAAGTCATATAGATGATCAAATGCAATGTTAGGCCCAAGGAAAAGTCACTGTAGAAATAATGGAGAATCTACATGTGATAATTATCTTGCTGTGATGCAAAGATATCCGGCTCTGAAGATTCAGTAGCCTCAACCATAAATCTTTCCTTTGTAGTCTCCCAACTCACATATTGCTGGATCTGCAGATGGCTTGTTTCTTCTTTTCCCATTTTTGTAATTTTCAAACAATTGTTCTCATCTCTTAAACAAATATACAAGCACCAGAGAGATAGTACAGTGAATAGGATGCTTGCCTTGCATGAAGCTGAACCAGGTTCGACCTCCTGTACCAAATATGGTCCTTGAACACCCCAGAATTGAGAAAGAGAAGAAAAGTGCCTGGGGATGGGGTGGGGATGTGATGGGAGGGAACGTGGGGACACTAGTGCTGGGACATGTCCACTGGTGGAGGGATGGGTGTTGGAACACTGAATGATTGAAAACTAATCATGAACAGCTTTGTAAGGGTCTATTCTCACAGTGATTCAACAACAACAACAACAAAATTAAAAAAAAAATTGTACTGAGCTTAAAACATAAAATCATGAAGTAAATATGAAGTGAGTCATAAACCAAAATAAGGGATGATATATAGAAGTAGCTGGCTGGTGAACACCATTGTGGGAAGTGGGAGGGAATGCCGGTGAAAGGGACTTGGGGTTATTTGAAAGGTATAGTTAATGTCCTCCTTCATTTCCTTCTGAGTCCCAGTCTCGTTAGTTATAAAGTAGAGGTAACAGCACCTATCTTGTGGGGGATCATTGTAGTGAAAATTAAATACTAAGAAGCAGTGCAGAGCCCACCACGTGATCCACATTCTCTACAGAGTCATTAATGTCACTGGTAGTTACGATTCATTTTATCATCATTAGCGCAGCCCAAGGGATACTCAAGTCATTGCAGTTATAATTGATATTAAGCACTGTTCTATTTCTTGAGTCTTTATATATCCGCTATATATGACCTTCTGAATACAAAATACTCCATAATTTAAAAATTTTACTATCTTACCAAATTTTTGCTGCATGGGACTGTAACCAACAGCCACTTTCCTGTGACTGTCCCCTGCCCCACCCATTTGACTAGCTGTGGTGCCACCCAGCCTTGCTCTGCCTCCAGTCACGGTGGTTTCAGCAACTCAAAATGCACCATCTAAAATCTTGCCTCATATTTCTTTGGCGTCCTCCCCTCAGCCACCTTCTCTTCACAGGACTATTACACATCATATCCAAAAATCTCATTTGCAAGTGCTTGACACTTTCACTACCATCTCCAATGATTCCGACTCAGCTCTCTTTTCTTTTATTCCTACTCAATGTCTCTCCACTCACAGCAGCCACTCCTGACCACTTTCTCCAGGATGAAACATTAGTGGACCGCTTGCACATCCACAACAGGTATGTACACACTTAATTGTATATTTGGAAAATAGTTTGGCAGTTTATTAAATAGTTAAATATCCAGGGTCTAGAGCAATACTACAGTAGGTATGGCACTTGTCTTGCATGAAGCCAACCCAGATTCAATTCCCAGCATCCCTTATTGTCCCCTGAGCCCTGCCAAGAGTGATCCCTGTACAGAGTACAGAGCCAGGAGTAAGTTCTGAAGACTAGGCATGGCTCAAAAAACCAAACCAAATGAAACAAAATACATCTACTGTTTGATCTGGTCACTCTATTCCTAGGTACTTACATAAGAAAATGGAAAGTTTTGGTACAAATAAAGTTTTTTATATACTTGCAGCAGCTTTATTTATGATGGCTTTATTATGTTGTCTCAGACTTGGAAATGAGTCAAATGTCAATCACCTGATGAACTTATAAAGAAATTGCAGTATATGTGTATCAAGGAATATAACTCAATGATAACAGGGACAAAAGACCAAACTACCATTAAACTACTCTTGGTAGCTTGTAACCCATGTTATCCATAACAATAACATGTAGCACTGTAAGCACTGTCCTCCTATTGTTCATCGATTTGCTCGAGCAGGCCCAGCAACGTCTCCATTGTAAGACTTGTTGTTATTGTGTTTGGCATATTGAATACACCACGGGGAGCTTGCCAGGCTTTGCCGTGCAGGCGAGATACTCTTGGTAGCTTACCGACTCTTGGTAGCTTGCCGGGCTCTCCGAGTGGGGTGGAGAAATCAAACCTGGGTCACCCGGGTCGGCCTCGTGAAGGCAAACAATAACATGGATGAAGCAAAATAATTGTGTTGAGCTAAAAATATTCAGAGAGAAAGGGTGTGTATTGAATGATGGGATTATATGTATTTCTATAAAATGCAGAGGAACCTGTAGTGACAGAAAACAGCTCTCTGGATACCTGGGGAAAGAGGTGGGTTGCAGTGGACGTGGGTTGGGCAATCACACAGTGGCATGAGAAAATGGGTGTGTTCATTATTTTTATTGTGTGGTGTTCTGTGAGTCAATATTTTATTGGCATGTGTCAGAGTTATCAATGTGTATACTTCAAACATCTACAGTCTATCATGCTTTAATAATATGATAATTTAAAAAGTTTTTCTGAGGGTCGAAGTGATAGTACAGTAGGTAGGGCATTTGCCTTGTACGAGGCTAACATGGATTTGATCCCTGGCATTTCATATGGTCCCCGAGCACTGCTGGGAGAAATTCCTGAGTGCAGAGCCAGGAGTAACCCCCAAGCACCACCATGTATGGCTCTAAACAAACACTCAAAAACCCTAAAAAACCAAAGAACACATCTCCTAGGCTCTGAGCATTCTGATCCGCTGGTCTCTAGAATCCTCTGGTCCATTTTCCTCTGCTCTGAGAAGATGGCTTCATATCCTCCTTTGCTCTCAAAGCTCAAAAAGTGCCTTACTTGCAACTAATGTCTGGCTCATTTCACGGACAAAATAGATTTAATCAGGTATCGACTTTCTCAGCGCCACTTCCCAATCTACTTATTCTCCCTTCATTAGCACTGAGACTCTTCCTGCCTTCGTTTCCCGACAGATGTACCGTTTCAAGTTTGGGTGTTTCCCTCCCTTTGCTCTACTTAATGGCGTGTCTCTGCAAATGTTTGCTTTCTCCTGCACCATCAAATTTCTACTGATCTACCAATAGGATTATTCTCATTTGTGCATAAAAACTCTGAAATGTTTTTTTTGATCAATATCTTTTCTTTTCTTTTTTTAAATTTTTATTAGTGAGACATCATGTGGTACAGTTGTAGACTTACAAATTTTTGTGCTTGGGCTACAATTATACAATGATCAAATACGTGTCCCTCCACCAGTGCCACCACGGATCCCGGTATCCCTCCCACCGCCCATCTGAAATTTTACCCTAAAATTCAAACAAGTTGAGTCAGAGAGCTAGTACAGTAGGTAGGGTGTTTGCCTAGCATGCAGCAGACTTTGGTCTCATCCACAATACCCCGTATGGTCCCCTGAGCACTGGCAGAGAGCCAGGAGTAAGCGCTGAGCACTCCCAGGAATGCCCTCCCCCCGAATAAAATAAAATAAATAAATACAAAGAAGTCAAACCTCATTTGGTCCCTGTCAGTGTCCAGTTATTGCCTCTTTCCTCTAACTCCTTTATAACAAAACTCCTTAAGCACCATCTATATTCCTGCTATGTCCGCCTTCCGAGCTCTCCCTGAGCCCACCGCAGCCAGGCTTTTTTAACTTCATGCAGTATGTGAAAAAGCCCTTTGTTAAGGTCATCAACCAGGGTCTGGAGTGATAACACAGCGGGTAGGGCGTTTGCCTTGCACGCGGTCGACCCCGGTTTGATTCCCAGCATCCCATATAGTCCCCTGAGCACCACCAGGAGTAATTCCTGAGTGCAGAGCCAGGAGTAACTCCTGTGCATTGCCAGGTGTGACCCAACAAGAAAAAAAAATCATCAACCATGGACTGGAGACAGTACAGGAGGAAAGGCACCAACTGCTGCTGCTGACTCCAGCTGCACCCCTGGCACGACACAACGTCTGGTCCCCTTGGGACTCCCAGGGCACAGGCTTGAGCATGGAGCCAGGAAGAGTCCTGGTGTGCTGCCGCCTATAGCCAAAAGTTCCAGCAAAGGAAGATCATTAACCATCTCCCTATCATCAAGTTCAATGGCAGATTCTCAGCCTCTCAATATGAAAATCACATTTGAATCCGTCCCCATGATAATGGCAGGTCCTGTCTGCAGCATCTTTGCTCGGGAATGTTTTCTAGTCTTTTTACTCAGTTCCCAGAAAGGTGGCGTTAGGCTTTGAATTGCCTCCTCTGCTTGGGTTATTACGCTCTGTCAGAGCTAAGCACTTGATAAGATGACTAAATTCTGGTGACATGAAAGAATACCAAACTAACACAGAGCCCGAGCTGGATGCAGATGGATCTACCTAGGATCCTCCTTATCTGTGGCAGTCACACTCTGTGCAGTCACAATGAACATGGAATTAGTAAACACTGACCCAATGTACCTAGTGAAATTGGACTAGACTTCCCGCAGATTTTGGTCAACATTCTCTCCAAGTGATCAAGATAAAAGCCTGCTTCGCTGATGTTTCTATTTAAAGACATACTAAGTAGTGTATGCTGTTATTGCTCACGACCAGGACACCACAATTGACGCCTGAATGAAGCTTCTCTTCCGTTGTGTTATAGACACACTACAGCCTTCTCATGCTGGGAAATAAAGAATAGCACTTCAGCACTCTGCTTGGGAGTTATTTATTTTATTCTATATGTCTTGACATTTTTAGAGAAGTTAAATAGTTTAATTTAGGGACTATGACACAGGAAAGAGAAGGAGAGAAAATAATACATTCAAAGGAGAAAGCAGACTTTTCCAGAAGAGAGAGCTGGGCGTCGTTTTGAACATCAAACTATTCAATAAAAAGTGCAAACGTGGGGCTGGAGCAATAGCATAGCAGGTAGGCGGCCAATCCGGGTTCGATTCCCAGCATCCCATATGGTCCCCCTGAACACGGGCCAGGAGTAATTCCTGAGTTCAGAGCCAGGAATAACCCCTGTGCATCACCAAGTGTGACCCAAAAAGCCAAAAGAAAGTGCAAACGTTTTTTAAACAGCATACCATATAAACCCTGAAAAAGGTGCCTGTGACAGAAAGTGAATTGACCCAACTTGATGGGCAGAGGGCCAAGCTGTCCAACCTCCAGTGGGAATGCATGCACCCCATACTTACCTTGGACATCTATGAATGACTCCAAGAGCACCAGGAGAGATGGTACATATTTTAGTGAATCGTCAAATTCCCTAACAATGGAGATCTGTGTCTCCCTACCTTTCGGGGGCGTGTGCAGTACAGGCCAGAGGCTTCTCTCCGGGGTCTATCCAGGGCTGCGTGGGCTGCACGGTGCAGGGGATGAGGAAAATGGTGTACTCCCCGGAGTAATCCTTCCTGGAAACACACAGAGCAGACTGTGGTCAGAGAGAATGTTCACAGGTGCTTTACCTCCCCAGAAACACATTGACTTCGTTAGCCGCTTTTCAGAGGGTTTGTGCCCTGCCTCCAAGAACTTCACAAGGCCACAAACACAATTTTCAGGAATCAGCACTGATTATTCTAACTTTCAGAGTATTTGACAGAGGTGTTAAATAGGGAGACTTTCAAGTTACTTTTGTGGGGAAAAAAAAGGATCTGAGAAAAGTACAGCTTATAAAAACCCTAAAAGGCTTTGGTGAAGACAAAACATAACTTGCCATTCCTTTAGTGTTCCATGACAAAAAATAAAATAACTGGCCATTTCCATTAGTCATCTATGAGCAGTGTCTGACAATCTCTGTTTCTTGTCCACTGACACCGTTCAACACCTTCTCAGCTATAAGCGTTTGTATTTCCTAAACTGTGACTGTGATGCCCTGACAGAACAAGCAGCAAATGCCTCCAGGTTCCGGGTGCCACTGAAGAGAGATGATCCTGCCCCCTCATTTCATCATGTGGCTTGGACGCCCCCTCCCAAGCCCTACAGCCTCTGCCCTGTGCCCGGCTGCAGAGTGGTACCACCTCCCACAGGAGATGAGCTGACATGGGGCGTGCGAAGATACTGGCCCCTCACCTATTGCATTTCCCACACTCTCACCAAGGAGCAGCCGCAGCCCTGTAGGTGGCCTGGAAAGCAGCCAGGTTTCCAGAAGCTTCTGGAAGATACTTCATGAGCTTTGGGAGGCTGCCATCCATTGAATGGAGAGTGCAGGATTGTGAATCTTAATTATAACTACTGTGAGCCAACAGAGCTCGGATCTTCTGGGCTCGTGGTGTGACTGTTTCTTTTATACTATTTATGTCTACCAGTTAAAAAAGTGTGAGCAAAGATTCAGTAAAAATAAAGAAACAAAGAGGGTGTATAGTTTATCCTGGGATCAGTTGAGCAGGACAGGCATGGATAGAAACAGGAAGAAAATTGGACCTAAGTTCACTTGGTCTCTGTGCTGAGTTGAAGTTGGGAGACAGGGCAAGCGACCCTGTGGGAAAACCTGCAACTCTTCCATCCGAAGTTTTCTCTCCTGGGACCTATCTTTCCTCAAAGTTTAAACTGCAGGAAACGAGACCCTTACCGCACACTCAGCGGACATGAAAACTAACGCGTAGGGGGTCGTTAGTGACTTTGACTTTGGAAAAGATTTCATTAGGCAGAATTGCTCATGCCTGATCCTTGGTGTTCAAAAATCCACAATTTTGTGGCTTTTCTGCTTAAGATTACTTTCCAGGCCACCCTGCAGAGGCCCACATTTCACTGGAGTAAAAGCCCCTGCCCACACACTGGCTGACCAGGAGGCCCTACTGACCCTTCCATTTCTTTGGCCTCAGTCCCCCTTCCTTTCTCCCTGCTCTCTGCATCTTAGTCTCAGGGGTTCCTTATGCTTCCAGCTGCCAGGAATTTTGCCAGAATCATCTGCATGCAAGCTCCTCCTCTCCTCAAGTCTCTGTTCAAAGGTGCCTTCTTTTAGTAAACCCCACTCTGAACACCCTAATTAAAACGACAATGTTCTATCATCCCAGTCCCACTTGCCCTACTTTATCCCTTTATCTTTTCACAGAGCACGTCACCTCCTTATTTATGATGTCTGGTGGTTGGGTTCGTGTTCTCTTCTGCAGGGGCGAAGGGGTCTTTATTTTGTTCATCAGTATGTCCCAAATTCCCAAAACCTATCCTGACTCATCAATACTGGCTAACAATCGAAGGTAGGACAAATGCAGTCTCCCCAGACAGCTTTTCTCTTTTCCTCCCAATCCTCAACACATTTGAGGTGGATTTTCTCACTAAACCTGTAAATATGCCAAACATAGCTAAAAGCACGGGTCTTTAATGGGTAATTCTTCTCCCTCCTTTCTAAAAACTAGACACTGCCCATATCACACAGACAGGGTCAGGGAACAAAAGTGAGACCCGAAGTCATTGACGGGGGTTCTTCTCTCACTGGTCTCTGAGTTCCACCCAACTCATCAAGAGCTGGGTGTTCTTCACCCGACCATCTACTGAAGTATTTTACTTCCTTAGCCCAAACATAAGCTCCTAGAGGATGCACTTCATCAAACCACCACTTTATGATTCAGGATGGATATTCTATCATGAATCCTGGGGGAGCTTACAACCAGGTGGAAAACGGGACACAACGGAAAACCCGGAACTGTGTAACAGTGGAAGCTGGAACAGAGTGGGAGTGAGGAAGAGTGAATTTCTCACTCTCTGCAGAGTCAGGGGGAGTCTGGGTCAGGGCTCATCACTCGAGCTGGTGCTCTGAGTTCAAGTTTCACAAGAGGGAAAGAGCAGAAGAGGCAGGAAGAATTGTAAGGATGCCATGTGAGGATATGAAGGTGGGTTCAGGGATGGAAGTGTTTAATAGCTGGGGCTGAGGTGAGGCCAGAGAGGAGAAGGACCTTGAAAAAAAAGAGTCTGGACTTTATCAGGCAAGCAGTGGGGAGTCCCAGAGGACCCCACGAAGCCAGTTTTACCATTTATAATAGGGTCAAAAGTACCCGCTAAAGCTCATAAGGTTCCAAGAAGCAATCCTTCAAGAGCATTTTATTATAAAATCTATTTCAAAGGAATAATTATAGCAAAACACACCTGAAATAAGATCAAAAATTTATCACTGGAAACCTTCTGAACATGAATCTCAAGAAAACCTGCCACTACTGTAAAGCAGGAAAAAGATTTTCATGCTAAAAGTATATCTTAACTTAGTATTAGTGACCTATAAAATAGAAGTAATGGTTATGAAAATCCTGGTTGTTTTGTTATCTTTTTCATGATAATAGTTTTCGATTTGTCTTTCCTATTCTTTCTCCTCTACAAATTAATATTTTATTGGATTTATCTAATCCCTATTTTCCATTATCTTATATTAGACTGGGAGAGGAATAAATTTTGTTAGTGATACATAGGCTAGTGAACCATAAGGAGTGACAGCTGGACCAAGTAACCAGATATCTTGGTTTGGCCCTGGTGAAGTTACTGGAAAAACATTTTTTAAGTTTTACTAAAGTTTCAGTTGTACACATTTCCCAGGCTCCTTTGCAGGTTGAGGCTGCATGATTACTTTCCAGCCAATGTGAGGGAATGAGATCATGAGAAATCATGAGATACCTTGCTTAATCTTAGCCTTAGAATAAGGGTGAACACTTCCTGATTCATCATTCTGGAGTTAATCTGAGCTATTTTGTTCCTTTTTTTTTCTATTTGATAGATTGTTCCTATCAATCTCCCCTTTTATTTATTTTTATTTATTTTGTTTGGGGGCCATATCCAACAGTGCTCAGAGCGTATATACCCCTGGGTCTATGCTCAGGGATCACTCCTGACTCTGTGCATAGGGGGTACTTCTCATGGTGCTCAGAAGATCATATGCAGTGCCGGGAATCAATGTGCAAGTCAAGTGCTTTACCTGCTGTACTACCTCTCCAGCTCTCAACTCCCTTTTTTGAAATAAAAGTGCAGAAAAAAAGCCCTATATTCTAAGCTGACAGAAACAGAACCCATTTCTGATCCTCTCTAAACTTCCTGTGTATTTACCTGTTGTAAGAGCTTGTGGCTCTCCAGAGTTGATATGGTGAGTCAAAAGTCTGAGCACTCCAGAGGAGCTGCAGGTCAAACTCAATGCCTCCGAGGTGGTCTGGAGTCAGTATGAAGGACTTCACATCAGGGAGGGTGTGGTGCTCCATCACAAACTGTCCTGTTCCGGGGGAAACACGCGACTCTGTGACTTTATTATACTTGTGGACAATCTTCTCCAAGAGTCTTAAAACTGAATTAAGACTTGAAGATCAAATGACTAAGGCTGAACTTACCCTGCTACCCCTTAGAATATGTCCCACAATGGTTGGGACAACATAACACCTCACCCCCAGCCTAACCGCCAGCTGACAAGGCTCACTGTGGTCAAATATACTTAGAAATCATAGAAATGTACCATGTGGAAATGAGCATGGTCGCAATTTCAGGAGTCAGTATGTGACAATGAACATCACACAGTCCTTGAATTTCATAGCCAACATGTTTTTTAGAGGTATACCATCTTGTAGCTTTTAAATAAAAATATCAATTTTGGATAAAATAAACCTCATTTATGGCTACTCAAGTCCTTGTGGTAGAAAACAATTGGAGACCTCAATAAATATGTAAAATCCTCCAACAAGACACTTTTCCTCTTTAAAACAGTTGTAATATACTGGCTCAAATACATGAACATAAGGATACTATCCTAGATTTGAAATACTAGGTATACCAATGAGTATCACATATGAATCATGGACCCAGCTCCTTTAATATAAACTGATAAAAATAAATATAGACAATCATAAAAAATAAAAAATTATTTCTATTCTTAAGAAATAAGAATAGAGGCTGGATTTAATTGCATCAGTGTTAAAATCTTGGTTGTGATATATAAGAAAATGTCTTTTTACCCCAAAAGAATGTCTACATAAGTATTTAAAGTAACACAAAGGTGCAACTTGCTTTCAAATAATCCCCCAATACTGAGTATGTGTGTGCATATGTATCAAAACTTAACTTTGACTTTGCTTTTTATTGTTCTATTGCTTAGACTTCTTTTGATGGTTGTCATATTTTTAATTAAAAGTTTTGGGGAAAATAGCATTGACTTTACCTCTGAATTTGGCGTGGGTTTTGAATTCAATGACAAGCCGGCCATCCTCTCGAATGTAGATCCTGATGATCTGAAGCCTTGCAGACAGCACACTGTCGGTCTGGATTCCTGCAGGGGACCACAAACGAAACATCCACATCAGGACAAAGAGGTCTCCTAGACACAGAGCTATGTGAGTTACTCCAGTGACTCCTTACAACGACACTGGAGAGATAGCATCTTGGTAGGGCATTTGCCTTGTACATGGTCAACCTGGGTTTGATCCCCAGCAACCAAATGCTAGCTCAAACTCACCGGGAATAATTCCTGAGCAGAGCCAGGAATAATCATTACTATATCAGGAGTAATCACTGGGCTATACTCAGTAAGCATTGCTGAGTATAGCCCCAAAACCTAAAACAAACAAACAAACAAACAAACAAACAAAAAACCCAAAAAAACCCAAGCAAACAAAACAACCAAATAACACCTAAACATTAAAAACATTTTGGAGGGTGCTGGGGCTGCATCCAGGACCCTATACAGGAAGAGCAATGAGCATTACCCTGCATGTTTTTTGTTTTTTAGGGCCACACCCGGCGATACACAGAGGTTACTCCTGACACTGCGCTCAGGAATTAATCCTGGCGATGCTTGGGGGACCATATGGGATGCTGGGAATCGAACCCAGGTTGGCTGCATTCAAGGCAAATGCCCTACCCGCTGTGCTATCACTCCAGTCCCCAATCTGAGAAAGATTTATACAACCATATGAACACAGAGCTATTCAGAGACACTTGCTAATCAAATTGCATGTCAGTTCATTCAACTTAGTTCTTTTTCTCAGTTCCACTTTCCTTGACATAATCTTGTATCCCTGTGAGTCCCACTTAGTACCGATTCATAGCTAAAAACCATGGGTCTGGAATGATAGTACAGTGGGAAGGACATTTGTTTTGCGCACGCCGACCTGGGTTCAATCCCTGGCATTCCATATGGTCCCCTGAGCATCTCTAGGAGTGATTCCTAAGTGCAGAGCCAGGTCTAACCCGTGAGCATCGCCAGGTGTGACCCAAAAAGCCACAAAAAAAATCACTCAATAACTTTGTATGCCAGAGAGACAGTCCAGGGTTAGTGTTAATGCGTTTACCACGCATGCAGCTGACCCTGGCTTGATCACTGGCACCACATATGGTCCTCCAAGCCCCACCAGGAATGACTCCTGAAGAGAGAGCCAGGGAATAGGCAGAGACAGGGCCAAGGAGTCGCCCCTGAGCACTGCAGATGTAGCTCAAGCCCCTGTCTCCAATCCCCAGGCCGAAAAACAAAAAGCCTCAGCAGGGTCTGAGATAGCTCAGGTCCACAGGTATGTGTGACCTGTGTAAGGGCCCAATTTTCATCCCCAGCCATGGCCCCCTTAATACCTCCTGGCATGGACCCGGTGACCCCCAAATACTGCTTGGGAAGTCCCTTCTTCCCACCCCAAAATGCTTCTTACTGTCAATTTTATATCAGAAAGTGATTTCAACACGTTTGCTTCATACTGTGTTTTCTTTTCCTACCAGGACACCTCTCAGGACTTAATAGAAGTATAAACAAAAAGGTAACTGCATCTAGTATCCAAGTCAAAGGTGTAAAAAGTCAGATAAATACAGCAGAGCAAACTGTGGTTTTAATCAGGGCACTGCAACCTCAGCATCCAGTAAATTCAGTCTCAATAAATGAAGGGATCCCCACAGGTGGCGTAAAAATAAAATGAACAAAACCTTCCAAAGCTCCAAGGCCAGACACTGAGTAGAAAACTTTGATATTATCTTCCTATGAGAAATACAAAAATGAATAAATAATGTGAGCTTAAGTCATTTATAGAAGAAAGGATCTTATTTATAAGAAATGAAGCTCTCCGTATAGAAAACTCTGTTAACATTTTATTGATAGATTGATTATTTTTTTTTTTTGGTCACACCTAGTTGTGCCCAGGGCTACTCCTGGCTCTCTGTTCTGGGGACTGAACATGTGCCAGGGAATTGAATTGGGGTCAGCTGCAGGCAAGTGGCTTCTGGCTCTCTGGCAGCCTTTTAGAACCTCTGCTTCAGAGCAAGTAAATCACTGTTACAACAGGAGAGGGGAAGAATGAGAAGTAAAGAGAAGTGAAGTTGAGACAATGTGGAAAGTTACATGGAAATGGAAAAGGGAAAAGAAGCAAGTCATAACTCAGACCCACTGGAGTGAATGGAGGAAAAAAATATCAGGATCTCTAAGGGGTAGTGGAGGACGTGGGGGATACAGGAGGTGGCATCAGCTGAGGGACTGACGCCAAATCCACCACCGTGGGGGTCTCCTCTTACAGCAGCAATGGGGACAAAGATGTGTGTGTGGGATTGGGGGGGGGGGCTCAAAGAGCATTCTAGAAACTCAGTCAGTGCCATATGCAAAAATCTGGAAGGACATTGAGGGTATCATGGTCAGTGAAATAAGTCAGACGAAGAGAGATAAACAGCTATGATTCTTCTCACATATGACACAGAGAAAACAAACAAAATGATATACTAAAGAAAACAAAAAAAGAACTTTCAGACTACAACACCAATTAGTGGTAATCAGAAGGAAGGAGAGCTGGGGAAGTGGGGAAATCGGGTAGAATTTTGTAGCAAAAGGTGGAATTATATATATATTTTTAGTGGTGAGCTTTATATAGCATATGTTGTAGTACATGCTCATTTTTTGGCATTATTTTGTTTTGGTGCCACTCTTCACAGTGGTCGGGGCTTACTCCTGGCTCTGTGCTCAGGGATCACTCCTGGTGGGCTAAGGGGCCCATACAGAGTGCCGGGGAGAGAACCGGGTCATCCGTGTGCAAAACAGGCACCTACCCACCACACTAATGCTTCAGTCCTTGCACTGTGACTTTTTAAAAAAAATTTTATTTATTTATTTATTTTAAATTTAATTAAAAAATTTTTTTTGTTAGTGAAACATCATGAGGTACAGTTATAGACTTACAAACTTTTGTGCTTGGGTTTCAGTTATACACTGATCGAACACCTATCCCTCCAACAGTGCCCATTTCCCACCACCATGGATCCCAGTATCCCTCCCACTCCCTATCCCCCCATCCCACCCTGCTTCTGTGGCAGGGCATTCCCTTTTGTTCTTTCTCTATCCTTTTGGGTGTTGTGGTTTGCAAGAGAGGCACTGAGTGGCAATCATGTTTGGTCTATAGTCTACTTTCAGCATGCTTCTCCCACCCTGGGAGGATTGCACTATTACTTTAATTGTTTTAAAAAGAACAACAACACATCCTTGAAAGAAAAAGTAGAATTAAAATCCTTACGCTGAAGACTAAAGCAAAAGGGCAAACACTAGGCCAGAGAATCAACCGTGCATCCTTGCCCTGGGTACATTTTTCCATTTGCCCGGATCTGACTTGAAGTTCCTCTTGCACCTTACACCACATGAATCACACCGTTTAGTAAACAATTTTGCAGTGCAGGAATCACTGGTGTTCCACTGGTCCATTGCTGGACCATCTCATAGATCCAGATCAGAACTGGAAGTACTTGGGAAACTACATTCGGTGTCAGGAATTGAACCAGGGTCAGCTGCATGCGAGGCAAGCACTTTAATTCTCGTACTACCCTGTACCAATTTTAACTAGGAGAAAATAATTATCCCTAGAGAGCATGTTCTCTGGTCCCCACCAGGAAACACAGGAATCACCTGACTTGCCACCTTCTGTCCTGGACCCCTGGTGATCTGGACTGCCTTCCACATCCCTGCAGGCCTCATGGCAACCCACATACGTGGCGTGATCCTTTTCCCAGAACCGCACCTTTCCAGAAACTGAGGTGGCTTTCTTTTGGGTGCATGCACGGCACAAGATGAAGGCAGCCACTGTTACACGTCACCACTTAATTTTTCTTTTCATCGTTTGCGCTTATGGGAGGGGTGGGGGAGGGAACTGTAGATCTCAATACCTGTTCTCCAGAGAACTGTGTCATAGAAGAAGGAGAACTCCATCTCCGTGTGGTGCTCCAAGGACGCCCAGCCCCTGGGGGCCGTCACGTAGATGTAGGACACATACAGGGGCACGTGCACTGTCAGGAAGGACTGGGCTGAGTCTCGCACCTGCCAAGCAACAGCGTGCCCAGAGAGGGTTATTTCTTCTCTCGGGATGAAACAGCATCTAACCAGCACAGTTGGGTTCAAATTTCACTCATTCAGTCAGTAACCATTAATTGAGGGTTCATGACCATGTTGGACATCAGGCTGGAAGCTGAGTCCTCAGCCCCGGGGACCCTCCCTCAGGCACCATACCTCATTGTGTTTAGGCTCCTTGTGGAGTTTGCTCTTAAAAGAAGGAGCTACAATAATGAAAAAGAGAAATAACAAGACAGGAGTGGCTGAGATGCTTCTTGAGAATGGGGTGATCTGGAGAGGCTTTCTGAGGAGAGTCGCTTGAACAAGGATGCCTTGGAGTAGTTCTGCCTTCCCCGAGATTGTAAAGCATCATGGCCTTCTCCAGAGGAAGTACCCTGCGAACATGAGACCAGCCACAGGCATAGAATCCCTCACCGATGGGATTTCTAGGAACCACGGGAGAGTCAGCTAGAGAATCAGCTCTAATTGGGAGCACGTATTGTTGTGGGTCTTGGGAACGTGTGGCTGATTAGGATGCCGGAGTCCCCTCAGCTCCTGTTCCAGGATCAGAGACTATGGGATTAGGTCACTGTATCTTGGAAACTTTACCCACACACAGCTCAGAGCTGCAAATATTTGGAAGGTTGGAGGGTTCCCAGCTCATATAATGGTTTGTTGATATAATTTTAAAAAGGCATCATTCTTCCAGGATACAGACCCTTTTTTTGAAGTTCATATTATTTTATTGGTGGTATATTACTATATTTTTACTTATGAACCTTTTTTTTTGTTTTTTTTTTCTGGGGCAGGTTTTTATTTTATTTCTATTGAATCACCATGAGATACTTATAAAGCTTTCATTTTTGAGTTTCAGTCATAGAATGATCAAACACCATCTCTCCACCAGTGCGCATTTTCCACCACCGGTGTCCCCAGTATACTCCCCCATCCCAACCTTCTCCCTGCCTCCATGGTAGACCATTCCCCCCATACTCTCTCTCTACTTTTGGGCATTATGTCTTGCAGTAAAGTTACTGAGAGGCTATCACGTTTGGTACTTTATCTACTTTCAGCACACATCTCCCATCCCCAACAATCCTTCCAACCATCATTGATTTAGTGATCTCTTCTCTATTCCAGCTGCCTTTTCCCCCAGCTTATGAGGCAGGCTTCCAACTATGGAACAGTATTCCGATACAAACCTCTTACTACTAATCTTTCAAAAGAAAACCTCTGACTGATACTTATTTGGCTCAATAACTTTAAAAAAAATTCACTATTCAATGGGCAATAGGTAGATGAAAATGAAAATGAAAAGATAAATTGGTAGATGAAAAAATAAATTATGAAAAGATAAATTATGATTTCATGTTGATACCATGTCTGTGTGAGTGGGGAATATATTTTATAAAAAGATTTATTTATCTTTATTTATGGGGGTGGAGCGATAGGACAGCGGTAGGGCGTTTGCCTTGCACGCAGTCAACATGGCCAACCCGACTTCGATTCCTCCGCCCCTCTCGGAGAGCCCAGCAAGCTACCGAGAGTATCTCGCCCGCACGGCAGAGCCTGGCAAGCCACCCGTGATGTATTCGATATGCCAAACACAGTAACAACAAAATCTCCAATGGAGACGTTACTGGGCCTGCTTGACCAAATCGATGAACAACGGGAGGGCCTTTAACTTTTTACCTTTATTTATGGGGGTATAGGGCCATATCTGAGCGTTCTCAGGCTTACCCCTGGCAGGGTACGGAGCACCATATGGGGGCCTGGGGATCATTAACCCAAGGAAAGTGCCCTACCTTCTGTACTATTAATTGCTCCAGCCCCGGGAATATTAATTTTTTTCTTTTTGAGGGAACAGAGAAGCCAATCATTTACTTTTGCATTTCTGACTTGAATCTGGGTTTAAGCAATCACGGAAATCCGAACAGAATGCTGAAGAACCTGAATATTCTGGGCAGCAGGGGGCAGTAGAGCACACAAAATAAAGGTTAATCAGCAGAAGGGTGTTGTGAAGAAAATCAACCCAATTTCAATCAGAGATTTCCCAGAATAATTCAATAGGCCTCTCCCATATCCCCTTCCTAAGTGTGACCAAAGCTCATTTAAAATAAAAAAACCCACCATCTGATTCTGGGTTCCTTGAGATAGCTGAGACAAACCTGTTTGAGACTCACCTTTTTCTTGAGGACACAGTAGCCTACACTGTTTGATATCAATAATTCCCTCCTATGACTCTGTTTTTTTATTTTTTTATTTTTTTGCTTTTTTGGGTCACACCCAGCGATGCACAGGGGTTACTCCTGGCTCTGCACTCAGAAGTTACTCCTGGCGGTGCTCAGGGGACCATATGGGATGCTGGGAATCAAACCCGGGTTGGCCACGTGCAAGGCAAACGCCCTACCTGCTGTGCTATCGCTCCAGCCCCAACTCTGTTTTTTAAATTATCAAAAACTCCCATCGTCACTAACAACTAATGACCTGTCAAAAAGTGTCTTATTTTTTGTCAAATATTTTCGGTTTAGGATAGATATAAAATCGAAGCCTTTTAAAACAATCTTTTCTCCATAATACTTGGGGTGGCTGTGTCCTAGGGTCTTCTGGAAATTAGAATTTTTCACCTGTCATTCAACTCATTTTCCTTGGTGGGGAAGAGAATACGTAGAATAGAATAGTATAGAGAATCCATCTACTAAGTAAGAGTTTTAATAACCCTAGACATCAAATGTATACCCTTTTAGCTTTCTACAACAGACTCAGAAGAAAAAGATATGTATATATGCATGATAAGCAAATATTTGATACGTGCTTGAATGACTAGCCAGGCAATAATCTGCTTCCACATTAACTTAAACAATCCCCACATTCATGTTTTAAAGACTGAATTGAGAACTTTGGGGGTGGTGGTGTCTCTTTAGCCCTGGTGGCACTGAGATCTCCTGCACAGAACTCAGAGATAAGACCACCCCCCCCCCCTCTGCTGGCTCACTCCCAGAAGCCCCGGGTTCCAGTGAGCTCCGTACAGGGCTCGGGAAACAAGCAAGGTCCCATGCAGTATGCAAGTGCCCACAGCCCAGAGCCCAGCGCTGGGCACCCACCTGGAAATCAGCAGTGACAGAGCCACCACAGACATCTATCAGCTCTGTCATGTCGTAGTAGGCGTCAAAGGTCCACACACAGCTCTTCAGGTTCAGGTGTTTGTAGAGCTGGATGGACTTTGACTCGCGCACGCTGGGGTCAAACTGGAAGGGGCGGTCATAGCCAGGGCCCAGGGCAGTGCTATCGTAGACCCGGTCATCCAGAAATCCTGCCTCTGCGTGTAGTGGAAGGAACAAGGAACCATTAGTGGTCTGCAGGGCTCCTCGCCCTTGATGCCTGCCCCAGTCTACAGGGCTGGTGTGGGGATGTGTCCTGCTACAAATGTAGTTTTGACTCCACCCCACTGTGAACTGTGCAGCCGCATGGGGTTCCTGCCCTGCAGATGGTCAGGGAAATCCAGATACTGCCCATGGACATGAGTTAAGCAGAGCTTGGCCTCGTGGATTCCCCAGAGAGCCTGCAGGAACTTGAAAGAAGAGAATAACCAACAGTAGCATTCATGAACGAACCCAGGGGTCTGGAGATCTCATCGATTTTGCTTGAGCAAGCCCAGTAATGTCTCCATTGTGACAACTATTACTGTGTTTGGCATATCAAATATGTCACGGGTAGCTTGCCAGGCTTTGCCGTGCAGGCAGATACTCTCGTTAGCTTGCCGGGCTCTCCGAGAGGGGCGGAGGAATCGAACCTGGGTCGGCTGTGTCGGCCGCGTGCAAGGCAAACACCCTACTCGTTGTGCTACCGCTCAAGCTGGAGACCTCAAAATAAAGAAAATATAGCCCAATTTTGCCATCACCCTGGGGAATCTGGGTGTCTCCTTTGCAATTAGTTCTTGAGGCAATGGAGTCGCTGTGTGGGTACTTTGCTGATGAACTATTTTGGTAAGAAAGATCTTTTTAAAAAAATCTTTTATAAAATGCTCCCAATCAAACATTTGATTTCTACCCCGCCCTCCCATGGTCTCTTCTCTCTTGGGGAAAAAGTCCTAATTCTGTGTTAATGAGTAAATAACTCACTAATGAAGCTTGACGAAACCTCTCCGGTTACAGGCAAAAATTACTGAATCAAATGCTGCCAAACAAGTGAACTGTTCTAAATTAAGGAAGACCTTTAAGCAGCAGAGAGAGTGGAATATAGATGTGATTTAGAATATTGGGGCAAAGGATTTTTGCAATACCAACAGTAGCTGTAGGATGCTGAAAGAGTTGATACATTTCTTAAATGTCTGACATCAGCACCCAGCCTTTGGCTCTTCAAATTCTAGCATGAACATGTGTGAACCAAACTGTGTTTAAATAAGAAGAGGTAAAACCTTCAGCTCCCAAACATGGCATGCTTCTTTCCCTAGCATTGCTGTGAAACAATTAAACTTTCATGTGCAGCTCAATGATTTGCAAATAATTTACACTCAACTAATTTCTATTGTGTTAAGACCATCGCTACCCCCCCAAGGGATGCCTAATGAATATGAAAGAGCTTCTGAATGCTCCTCTGTCTTGGAAAACACCATCCAGTGATTCATCAGTGACGGAGAGAGGAGATGTGCATTCAGGGTATGTGGCTCAGGTAGATGAAAAGGGATGGGACTACTGATCAGGTGGAATGTCTGAGAAGAGATGCAGACCTCAGCCATCAGCTGCTTCCGCTCTGGGTTCTTGACAGAGCAGCGCTGTTCCAGGGTATGTCCTTGCTTGGGCAAGAGCAGGAAGGCCCTCCTGCTCTGGCCGGAAGCAGGATGAGTCTGAAGGATGGGCTCTCTCCAGCGATTGCTAGAGTCAGTAGTTGATGCTTTGCAGTTCTTCCTCTGCCCAATCGTGCCTCTTCTTTTGCTCTTTAAATGACGTGGCTCTCTAGTAAACATCTTGCACCCCAAACTCCATCTTCCCACCTCTTCCTCCTGGAGAACCCATCCTAGCCCCATAACATCTACACGGTAGCTTTCAAAAGCTGCAGTGATCGTGGATTTTCTTATTTTGATTTCTTATTTGTTTTCTTTTGTTTGGGGCCACACCTGGCTGTGCTCTGGCTGGGCTCATTCCTGGCACTGCACTCAGGGATCACTCCTGGTGGTGATCAATGGATCATATGTGGTGCCAGGGATCAAACCTGGATCAATAGCATGCAAAGCAGGCTCCTGACCTTTGCAAGTGGCTAAGGCAAATGGATAGAGAGGAGATTCTTTTTCTTAATTAAATTTCTTATTTAGTCATCATGAAATTACAAAGTTATTCATGATTGGGTTTTAGATATGCAATGTGTCAACACCAATCCCTTCGCCAGTGTCTACTTCCCTCCACCAATGACCCCCCCCCAACTCCCCTACCCCCACCAATTTGCCTCCTATCCACCTGTCCTCTTCTGAGAGAGGACTTTTTTTTTTTTTTGCTTTTTGGGTCACACCTGGTGATGCACAGGGGTTACTCCTGATTCATGCACTCAGGAATTACTCCTGGCTGTGTGCTCGGGGGACCATATGGGATGCTGGGAATCGAACCTGGGTCGGGCCGCATGCAAGGCAAACGCCCTACCCGCTGTGCTATCACTCCAGCCCCCGAGAAAGGCCTTTTTTAAATACACATTTTTACAATGTGATTTACAGTACTGTAAATCAGCACAGGGCTTCAGGCATGCCCCTTTACCACCTTTCAGCACCACCATAGACGTGGCCCCTCCCTGTCCTACCCCCTAGCCCCATCATGTGGCATGGGAAACAGACAGGATTCTTACATGCTGTGCTATCTCTTTGACCCCAATTATGGATTTTAGAGTGTGAGTCTAAACATGTTTAGGAAATGGGAGAAAAGAATTAAACCTGACCATGGTAAGTACCTGAAAAATGTCCATACACTAACTTTACCTTGGTTGGTACAAATGGTTTTCCATATGAAGGATTTATTTATTTATTTAATATATATACATTTTGTATAATATGTACATAATATATACATTTATATGTTTAATATATACATTTTGTATTTGGCTTGGAGACCTTGGATTCCAAAATCCTTGTTTCTTCCTATTTACTTCATTGTCTGAGTTGCCCATGTTTAGTTGCTTGCTAAGAGAAAAAAGTCACTCATCCTATGGATTTTGAGGACCAGAAAATAGAAAATGCAGGATTCACTTAGCCTCCTCCCTAAGGCACTGAAAAGAACTAGAAGAACCAGCAGAAAACTTTCTCTCACCTGAGATGCCTCGCAGGTCCCGGGTGGTGACGAGATTGGAGCAGACGTGCTGGTGTCTGTAGATGGACTCGGAGAGCAGGAAGTGCAAGTTGTGCAAAGGCATGGTGGAGATGAGGGGCAGCATCCCATCCTGGTGTGGGATCTGCACCGAGATGTGAATTCTAGGAGGAAAGGGCAGAAAGATTTATCTGTCTGCTAGATAGCATATTGCCTGCGCACGAGACTGTCTTCACTAATGAATGCTGAGACGTTTTGAAGATTTCCATGGAGGATTTCTTTCTGAACAAGAAAGAGGGAATGAGGGTGCAGGTTGAGCTGCTTTGCCCTCGAGACAGCATCTAGTCAGAACCGAGAGCCATCAAGTATCAAGGCTTTGGGGGCTGGAGCAATAGCACAGCGGGTAGGGCGTTTGCCTTGCACGTGGCCGACCCAGCTTCGATTCCCAGCATCCCATATGGTCCCCTGAGCACTGCCAGGGGTAATTCCTGAGTGCAGAGATAGGAGTAACCCCTGTACATCACCAGGTGTGACCCAAAAAGTAAAAAAAAAGAATTACTGCTTTGTTATTTTCTACACAAGAAAAGATAGCATCACCACAAATTACCTAACAGTTTTCTTCTCCTTTTCATAGAAGCTTCAATTCTGCATGAGCTAGAGTTGAGGGACTGCTCTGTACAGTGACTGTTGCTGGAGGAGAATTAGGGGAAATTCCTTTTTTGGTTTGTTTGTTTTGGGGTTACACCCAGCAATACTCAGGGGTTATTCCTGCCTCTGAAATCAGGAATCACTCCTGGCGGTGCTCAGAGGACCATATGGGGTGATCGGGATCGAACATGGGTCAGCCGGCATGCAAGGCAAGCATCCTAACCACTGTACTCTTTCTGGTCACACATATTTTTTTTTCTTTAAAGTATTTGTACTTAAAAAAAAAAATCTCCGAGCTTTTTAAATTCTAAGGCTTCCGGGGAAACTCTTAGAATAAAATTATATCCCACTGCTCTTGTCTTTCCCCAACTGAAAACGGTTTTCCCTCTCCTCTTTCAAGTTTCTGCAATACTTTGCGCTGGACGTGACGCTCTGCTCCGAGGCGCACTCTCCTTGATCTACGTCCCTCAGCGCTTAGGAGCTTGGATGCAGGAACTCTGTAACTTATTTATATCAGCTCCTATTTCACGTATGTTTTCAGGCTCTGTTTATCTTGCCTCCCACTATGAGGACAAGGACCATTTCCTTCACTTCTTTTGTTTCTCCAGAGCATACAGTATATAATTCTAAATAAAATATGAGCTTAATAAATATTGGCCAAGACTGCAACACAGAACAGAACTGTACTTATGGGCTGCATTTTTTTTTTCATTGGACAAGCTTAAATTTTCAGCATGTTTATGGAGGAGGTCTTTAGGGTTTTTACAGCTTGTCTCTCAGAGCAAAGGCGCATATTTTAAAGATGATGCAGAACCTTGGACGATGAAGAGAATGGCTCTTACTAGGTAGAGACAGTACCTCTTACTAGGAAGAGACAGTACCGTTCTTTCATTGTGCTTTCAAACAACTGAATTTTAATGTTAGGAAGAAGGATTTGCATTTTTGGTTCCATATTCCAATCTTATTTTCTGCAGGCAAATAAATCCTTTTACCCGAACTCAGTTTTTTTATCAAAGCACAACATAAACACAAAGGGGCTAAAGAAAAAAACGTATGATACATACGAATTCTTTTTCCACTACGTAAAAATTGGAAGTATCCACTTCCATCAAAATCGAGATCTTTCAGGAAAGAAATAAAAGCCCGCCTGCCCAGCATTGTATAGTCTGCAGGGCAGGAGAGACAGCTCGAAGCGCTGAAGCCAATGCTTGCACCCAGGAGGCTTGGTCACACAGCATCACGTGGTACCCAAAGCACAGAAAGCACAGAGCCAGGCCCAGCCCTTAGCACTGCTGTCTGGGACCCCAAGACAAGAATAAATCACAAAACGGTTGACACTGTGTGGTTACTTGTTGGCTGGTTAGATATCTGGTGAGTGCCAACATGGTGCCAAGAAGCACTGTGCAAGGTGGAGACAAGAAAAACATGGGCCCTGCTCTCAAGGGCACAGGCAGAATGAGGGGTGATATGTTCTGGCAGACACATATGTGGAGGAATTGGAAGGGGGGCCTCCCAAATTAAGTTGGAGAGAAAGATGAAAAAGTTCTCTTTTTTTTGCTTTTGGGGTCACACCTGGCGATGCACAGGGGTTACTCCTGGCTCATGCGCTCTGGAATTACTCCTGGTGGTGCTCAGGGGACCATATGGGATGCTGGGTATCGAACTCGGGTCAGCTGCGTGCAAGGCAAATGCCCTACCCTCTGTGCTATCACTCCATCCCCGGAAGATGAAAAAGTTGTCGAGATAACATGAGCTAAGGATAGAAGAACGGAATTGAAGTACACTGAGTGGAAGAAGGCAGCAAAGGCCCGAGTCAGCAGCAGCTGGGCAGAGGCACATCACCAAAAAGGATTCGAGATCCTGAGGAAGTTACTATGTGGTTCTCCTTGGGTGGACAAGCAAGCAAAGATGAGGATATGAGGCTAGGAAGTTAGGCAATGTGCCAGTTCTTGAGGGACCTTAGAAGATGGTTTTACTATTTTTTCACTCATCACTCATTCCTCATTGACTGAAGCATCACCGATTGGTCTGTCCCAGGTAGGAAACACAAAGACAGGCAGAGATTTACTCCTCCACTCCCCTGGGACATGCTGGCCTGACCTGTTGGGATGCTCCTTGTGTTTGACGTCCAGGTATTTCAAGGTCGCGATGAAGGACTGAGCCTGGAAGCCTCTTGCTGTCCCAGCCACCACTGGGGTGTGGCAGATGGCACTGTCTGTGCCAATGGTAACAATGTTGCTCCTTAAGGGGGTCCCCACGTGGCCCACCTTGTCCACAGCCTTTGCCACGCAACGCACATGGAACCTCCGGCTGAAGTAAATGCTATCCAGGACCTGGTGGAGAGAATAAAGAAGCTCAGGCATGTGCATATGACTTACCTAGCTCCCTACATTGTATATTCGGAGTGGCATGACACAGGGTACTAGTAAAAAAGGAATCTGTGAAGACCACCCACCCTCTCACCCAGGCATCCGTGCATCCACTATCCACATCCATCTATCCACCCATCCGTGCATGTATTCATGCATGCATGCATCCATCCATCCCATCCATCCACTGTTTTACCACATAAAAGTACATACTTTCTACCAGAAACTAGGAATGAGGCATAAGCAATGAAGGAGACGAAGAACAAGTGGGCAGATGTGCTCTTTGTAAGAGTCCAAAGTGGACTCTTACAACATAAGGACCACTCAACTAACTTTTCCCCTTCCAGCAAGACTCCAAGTGACTCTTGGAGTTATAGTACAAGGTTATAGTACAAGGATACAAAGGAAGATTCTCTCTTTTCTGAAGTTTTTTCTATCCTTCCAATGTGTTATTCCTACCCCATTCCCGCTTTGATGAGCACATACTCTGCAAGTTATAGTAGCATACAGACTTGAAGCTGAGAACTTGGCATCTGTTACCTATGTACCTTTGAAGTCTTTTTTATATTCTTTCATGTTCCCAGACATATAGAAACCATAAGAGTGTTTAACTCCGTCTATGCAGTGTCAAAGGAGGTCATCGGAATTCTTTGGGTTACATGTGCATACACATAAGGAAGTACATAAAAAGAAAAAGTAATTGGTAGGTCTGCGTGCCATGGACCTCCCACAAAGCAGTCGTGCACACTTATAAATTCTACCCATGAAAACAATTTTCATTGAAGTTCATTAAAAATTAAAGAAGATTTTTTCCATTACAATTTTTAATTAGCTGCCAACACTTTATTTATTTATATACATGGACTTAGTTAAGAAGGGAGTTGGGGCATCTTATAAAAATGCATGTGATGCAATGGTATTAAATAAGCAGTTGAAGAAATGAAGAAAGATGGCAAAGCAAACGGGCTAAGGAGGGTGAGTCACTAATTCATTGCAAGAAAAGAAACTGAAACATAAAATGAATCTATAAAATTGGTGCTAGATGAAACTGTATATTTGGCTTAAATCAAACCAAACAGAGAATTAGATACTTATGAAACTTAAGCTATAAAGTTTTGCCATAAAAATTTTAACAATACAGAAAATAATTTAAATTTATGTATTTAATCTGGTGTTCTGGTCTTTCTGAACAAAGTCCAGCAAAAACAATGGACAGAGTGACCTTCATTTCAAGTCCCTCATCTCTGTCCAAACAGCATTCCATCATTATTATCCCACCCACATCAAATACTAAAGTGACAATCGACAAATGTGAATTGAAGAGAAAAACTGGAAGAAAGTCTGCCTAAAAGAAACTTTTCAATTCCCAAATTGTTCAGTGACCTGATTAGTCAAAGATCAACAGGCTTTCTATGTGCTGAAGAGTTTTAAGATCTTCCTCTGAAGAGACGAGAACTCCCTTGGACGCTGCAGTGAGTAGAGAGTAGTCACTGTTGTCTGCTCTCTCTCTGTTTGAGTCACTGCATTCTGAACCTCTGTTTAGGCCTTCCCACAGAGCTTTGTAAAATGTAGATCACTCAAAGGCACAGCCTGCCCTTTTGTTTAATAACTAGTTCGTGCCACGAACTATGGAGGTGCTGACTACTTTGGGACACATAAATGTGAGAGAGACCTTGGTCCACGCCCTTAATGAGTTTGTTTTGGAGTCACACCCAGCAGTTCTCAAGACCTCCCCCGGCTCAGTGCTGGAGCATCACTCTGTTGTGGGGGAACCATGCCTTGCCCAGACTGAACCCCAGTCTCCAGTATCCGAAACATGCCCTAGAGTTTGTAAGGTATCTTCTTGCCCATCCCACCATGTGTTTAAACCCAATCTGTATGGGATGACTAGAAAGTTCTGGAAGACCATTAATAATTGCCCTTACCTAAAATCTTTGACTTAGATTTACTTTGTCACTTAACCAGATCTTTTTCTGGGGTCTCCCAAGTAATGTTTAGGGGTCCCAGAGGCCACTCCAGGGATAACCAACCAGGCCAGATAATTCAAAATTTGGGCCCAAGGGTGTGGTTCTATTATGGTCAGGGTGATTGGGGGCCACCAGGGCTGTACCTAGTGGTACTTAAGGGGGACTATGGGGTATAGAGGATCAAATTTAGGTTCTTATGCAAACCTGCTATGTGTCTCTGATCACTGAGCAATATCCCCGGTCTCTGTAAATAATTTTTAAATATTATTAATTTTTTTTATATTTGGTCCACACCCAGTGATGCTCAGGGCTTGCTTCTGGCTCTGCTCTCAGGGATCACTCCAGGTGGAACTCAGGCTGCTGGGGATCAAACCCAGGTCTACCATGTACAAAGTACGCCCTACCCGCTGTAGTGTCTCTCCAACTCCCAAGTGATTTTATATGAGATTTGCTAATGACTTCGTTGAGTTGATATGTGAAAAAGATTACTTCGTGGATTGAGAGCTTAAGGCTTTAGAGAGACTAAGTACCTCTTCACTTCACATAGGTCAAATCAGGATTCTGAAATAGATGGTCTGTTAACCTAGTTCTCTTTTAACTTTACCCCACTCCCTTACCCATAAGAATGGAAATACTATGTATGAATTACTTAGCTTATTCCAAATACCATACCATATTGGAAACTTTAGGGAATGGATGATTCTGAGCAGCAGACACTAATGTTTCCTTTCCATGCCCAATCCCATCTCTGCAGACTTACCATGTGGTTGACGCTGGTGAACGGTGTGTTGTCAGTGATGGTCTCAAAAGGAGACCGGGCCCCGTTGCCATCTGTGGGGGCAGCCACTTCCCAGCTGAACTGCACGGAGGAGCGGTTGATGCCAGCCTCCAGGCAGCGCTCCCTCATTACCCCATACTTGGGGAAGTGGGGGTCACAGGGAGTGACACAGACCAGTGGGTAGCCCGGGGAGGGGGATTTCTTGGCTCCTTCCTTGGTGACCTCTTCCACGTGGTCATAGTCAGCAAGTGTGACAACCTGCAAAGGTGCAATAAACTCAGCTTCCTCCAGAGTTGGGGTGTGGGAAGGTCAGAGAACTGAGATTTCCCCCTTCCAAGGATCCCTAAGATGACTTCTCTGCTCTGGAAAACTAACAAGCTTTTATACCACTGCCGGGTGTTCCTGAAAAAAGGCGACAGATATTTAGTAGGTAGAGAAGATCCTACTGCCTGAGCTAAAACTTTTATTATCTCATTAATCTCCCTCCCAGTCATGTGAGAAATACTTTTATTGTCCTGCACACTGGTACCAACGCTGTATCACAAATGACAGTTGCTCGTTTAAAAGTTGCCTTAAATTGTTAATGCTAGGTAGTGGCCTATTTGGCAAAATGAGGGTAAATAAAGGTACTATGTTTCTTCCATGGTAATCAGAGACACATCCTGAAACGATCCTTCTATGGTATGAGCTTAGCCAGGGTAGGTTAGAAGATTTAGTCTGATGCTTCATGATTAGATGTTAAATTTCTCTAGGCATTTTCCTGTGAATGAGAAAGTAACTGCATCCATACCGTCTGTTACCAAACTGGGAAATATGGGATGGCATTTCTGCTCACTGAATCCTATCCACGCGGCATATATGTAGACAAAGGGGAGTACCCCCTATCTACTTTTCGAGCACCCACCAAAGAAATGAGAGGATGAGTTGTATCTTACTTTTTGTCTTATTCACACTAAGGTGTCGGTATAGTCCCATCTTATTTGGGCCCTCACACCTTTAGCATTGTTGACATTTGAGTCAAACATTTCTTAGTTGTTGGCGTGGCCCTATGCAAGGGTGTTTAGCATTATCCCCGACTTCTGCCTACTAGGTACTAATTCTGCTCTACATAACGGTTGTGACAACTAAAAAAAGTACGTGTCACTAGACATTGCCGAGAGTGCCCTGGAGGTGACAGGGGTGAGGAAGGAAAGTGATGAGCTTATTCCTGGTTGAGAACCACGGCAGCCATCCGAACTCTCACGAGCTCTTGTTTGCTGTCCATTAAGACACAGAAGCAGTCTACTTAGGTCAAGGTAACTCACAATGGGTGGTGCTGGCAGTATCAGGCTCCCCGCTGCCTCCTGGTCTAGAATCGTCACTGTGGCCGTGGTCACATCGCCGAGAACTGCCTCTACGGGGTCATCTGGACCAAGGACTAGGGAGAAGGATTCATGCCACTCCCGGTCTTCATTGGAGAGAATCTCAACTTTGAAAAAGATATGGTCCACACCTTCCAAGGACACACAAAGACAGAGACCCTGTTAGGCAAACTAGTGGCTTCCTGTTGCAATATAGCCTTTCTTCACAGAGGCTTGTTATGAATGCAGTGGCTGCTAATCACCGTAACCCCATCTCCAGCGAGGAGTCTGTTTTATCGACCAAATTCTACCCGTAGTAGAGGCTCAGTACTGCAGATTTACTATTCAACACGGGATGAGGATTAATGGCCCCTGCCTGACACCAGCTAGTGGTAATAAAAATCTATGATCCGAAATATGCTCCACCCTGAGTTTTTTTTTAAAAAAATTGTCTTACCCTTTTACACTTAGGCATAAAGTTCCTATTGGGAAGAACTCAAAGGCACCAATCAGGTTTTGCCTGTTGGGGGAGAGGGTTAGAGCCCGAAAAAGCTACTTTGTCTTCTGAATAATTATTCTCTGAAGCTGTAAATACCCCTGGCAGTAGCTAAGGCTTCTTTCTCTCCTTTGTAGAAGTGGACAAGCTGCTTCTAAAACGTCACCTGTGTCTTAAGACATAATCATCACATCCCATTTTTTTTGGCCTAGAATATGGTTTGTAATTTTTCATTGCATAATTGTTGCATGGTATGATTCTGTTCATCGCATCACTTAAAAGCAAACAGAAGGGCTGGAGCCATAGCACAGTGGGTAGAGCGTTTGCCTTGTACGCGACCGACCTGGGTTCGATTCCCAGCATTCCATATGGTTCCCCTGAGCACCACCAGGAGTGAGTGATTCCTGAGTGCAGAGCCAGAAGTAACCCCTGAGCGTCGCTGGGTGTGACCCAAAAAGCAAAAAAAAAAAAAAAAAAAAAAAAAAGCAAACGGAGGGACTGGTGAGATAGTAAAGTAAGTAGGGCACTGGCCTTACATGTTTCTGACCTGAGTTCAATCCCAGGACCCCATATGGTTCCTGAGTCTGCAGGGGTGACTGCTGAGTGCAGAGTCAGGGGTAACTCCTGAGCCATCGCTGGGTGTGGCACAAAAAGAAGGGGAAAAAAAGGCCTTCTTGTGTCCAGGGGTCTGAGACAGACCACAGCAACAGCCCTTGTGTCTGAGGGGTCCATTCTTTGCCCAAAGCTTGCTAAAACATCTTGGAAATGTCTTTTGAATGCTTGCCTACTTCTGCCTTCGTCACAAATGACGCCAAGATCAACAGCGGACTTTCAACCTTTGACAATTCCGGAAAGCTCTATGAACAAAATTAGCACACAAATGAACTCCTTCACTAGCTCATGCTTTCCCTAACATGATTAAAACTGACAGTCCAGCAGGTCACGTGACTTCCATATCATTCCTGATGACTCAGAGTCAGAGTGTCTCTAAGATAAATCTTATTTATTTGGGGCCATACCTGGGCAATGCTCAGGGATTGTCTCAGGTGGTGCTTGGGGTAAACACACAATGCTGGGGATCAAACCCAGACCTCCCACATACAAAGCATGTGCTCAGCTATCTTCCTGGTTACCTCCCCCCCTTTGGAAATTTCTTTTTTCTTTCTTTCTTTTTTTTTTTTTTGCTTTTTGGGTCACACCCAGCGATGCTTAGGACTTACTCCTGGCTCTGCACTCGGGAATCACTCCTGGCGGTGCTCCAGTGCTCAGGGGACCATATGAGATGCCGGGGATTGAACGCAGGTTGGCTGCATGCAAGGCAAATGCCCTACCCACTGTACTATCGTTCCAACCCCTTTGGGAATTTCTTAACACAATGCCTTTATCCTAGTAGGTGTCAGACCATTTGAACACAGAAATTGTGCCCTCCTTCTGAATTTTACTAATCTCAGAGTGGCCCAGCACACAGTGTTGTATCAATATTTGTCAAATCAGAGTAATGACACATACATAAAACTATAATGATTTAATCAAATGCCCCTTCTTAAATGAATCATTGGCTGTCTGTAGCTTTGTAGCACTGTCCTCCCATTGTTCATCAATTTGCTTGAGCAGGCACCAGTAATGTCTCCATTGTGAGACTTGTTGTTACTATGTTCGGCATATCGAATATGCCACAGGAAACTTGCCAGGCTTTGCCGTGCGGGCGAGATACTCTTGGTAGATTGCCGGGCTCTCCGAGAAGGGTGGAGACTCAGCCGCATGCAAAACAAACTCCCTATCCGCTGTGCTATTAGAAACAAATTTGATGAAATAAAATTCTCAGAAGTTCTAAAGAAAGGGACCCATTCCTCTACCCCTCACCGTCCCCCCTTCTCATGCCATTTTTTGTTTTGCTTTTGTTTTGGGATCATACTCAGAGGTGCTCAGAGGGCTACTATAACAGTGCTCAGGGGACCATGCAGTGCCAGATATTAAATCTAGCCTCCTGTATGCAATGCAAGTGTTCCAGCCCTTTCAGCTCTCTCTCCGATCCTCCCACGCCATGTTTGTTAACTAAAAAAAAATTTTTTTTTTTGCTTTTTGGGTCACACCCGGCAATGCACAGGGGTTCCTCCTGGCTCTGCGCTCAGGAATTACCCCTGGAGGTGCTCAGGGGACCATATGGGATGCTGGGAATCGAACCTGGGTTGGCCGCGTGCAAAGGAAACGCTCTCCCCGCTGTGCTATTGTTCCAGCCCCTGAAAATTTTTTTAAAGATTTCTCTAAACATAAATGTATGCCGAGTAAATTCTTTCTATTCTATTTTCCCTTTTCATTTTTTGTATTTACTTCTATATTCCAATATATGATATGTGCCCCTCCCCGTATATTGGGACTGGTATTCAGTTACCGGGGCTGAACTTTAACACTCGACTCTTCGGGTAATAATCCACACCAGACTGGGCAGAGCCGTCTCTTGTGCTGCAGCGAACCTTGGACGTCCTGTTCTGATCTCCTCTGCGAATCACCTTGATGTTGAGAATGGCCATGGCATCCGGCCCTGAGGGTTCTCGAACTTGGTATGCAGCTTCTTCAAACTCAATGGTTGGTGCTAAGGAAACACAGTTTAAAAAACAAGCACAAGTTAGAATAGCAAAGAATTCAGATGCCCATAAAATCATCTTATGATGACCAGAGGGAATTTTCCACATTAGGTTAACAGTACCAAGGCAAAATGGTTTAATTCATAAAAATTAATCAGTATTCACACACACACACACACACACACACACACACACACACACACACACACACACAGCAATGTTAGGAAAAAGGAAATTTATCTTGTAATTCTGAAGGAATTATTTCTTATTAAAAACAATAGAGTGATGGATATATTTTTAAGCTTGATATGCCCATGTTTTCCATCTGGGCATGACAACTCACAAAATGTGTTGAAATTCGCACATTTTATCTAGGGACCGAGACATAGGGAATCCTTGAGAAAAATCTGTATGAACCAACTCTTTGTTTATGAAATGTGAATTTCTAAGGTTTATAATTTATCTCACTTCTTCACATTTACCAATCCAGTTCTCATTTCTGGTCTCTTGGAACTCTTTCCTATGGCTCTTTCCTTCCACACTTCATCTTCCCAGTGGTTGTTTAATTTGGAATGAGCGGTAATAGTGACTAGCTACAATAATTCTGGAACAGATTTCCTAACACAATCTAGTTTGGGGTCCTATTCTCGTTGCTAGGATATGGTTTAATGATATGCTGATTTACACCAAAATTTCAATTTATACTTTCTTTTCCATTATATTCTTGGCAAAGAATGGGATAATAACTGTAGATAGAGTAAGATAAAAGATGGGAAAATTGGGCCAGAGAGATAGCACAATGGGCTGGTTGTATGAGTTGCATCATGGGATAACTGGGTTCATTTCTTGATATAGCATACGGATCCCCTGAGAAGAAAGAATAACCCAAGTGCTGCCAGATGTGACCCACATACAAAACAAAACAAAACAAAAAATGAAATTTAAAACAATGACAAATTTTATAGTATTTTATATGTAATATAGAATAGTGGAGAAACTTCTAAAGTCTCTATGTTCATTTTCCCTTTTACTTCTCTGAAAATCCATGCTCTGTGAAACTTAGGGGTGTCGCAGTAACACTAGGAATATGTCCTCTCTAAGCCTTAATTATTGGGTTTTCTGGATAATCCAATAATTCATCTCAGGTTTGGAATCTAACCTTTGGTTAATGACTGATTCAACACCAAAACTGCTTTTCTTATTTTATCCAACATCCAAGTTAGTCTCTGATTTTACATCACAAACCCTAAAGAGTCCTATTGACAAGAATAATATAATCAAATCAGATTATATTAGGAAGTCTTTGTTTCTAATTAGATTCTAAAATCTGATCAAATAGGGTTCACATTCAGTTTTGCTATTTATAGCTTTTGTCACTTGTTGCAAGATTGTTATATAAATATTACAAAACTGTTATCACTAGATACTTTCATCGAAATGGCATTTTTAAAGGCACCAATAATTACATTAGCAAAACATCAATTTGTATCTCACAACCAAAGTGTAGCTAAGGGCAGTATCTCTGTTACCATCTTCATCATTGGATATTGTGATGGTGGCCAGGTTATTCTTTCCGATTCTGGCTCCACTCCAGTGGTTTCCAAGAGGATGGCTGAGGTAGACCTGGAACTGTTCCTCAGGCTCAAAGATGGAGTCATCATGGATCGAGACAGTACAGTTCTTCATCTAGAGCCAATGGTACAAGATAGATTAAACTTCATGGTGAATTATCAGCAATCTTCTTGTTTTCCTAGAAAATGATCTCTCTTTGCAACATCAAAAAGTTAATAAAAATTCAAAAAAGATCCAAAAAGACTGGGAACATAGCTTTATGGCAGAGCACTTCTATGTGTGAGGTCCCAGATTCAATCCCCATCACCACAGAAAACAACAACAAACAACCATCCCAAGACAGGGGATGGAGAGATAGGACAGCAGGTAAGGTATCTGCCTTGCACCTGGCTGACTCGGGTTCTATCCTCAGCACCACATATTTTTCCCTGAGCACCTCCAGAAGTGATCCCTGAGCACAAAGTTGGAAGTAAGACCGGAGCACAGCTAGGTGTGGCCAAAAACAAACAACAAACAACAACAATGTACCAGAGAGAAGACCCAAAGACTGGAATATGTGGAATGTGTGTTTTGCATGCAGGAGCTTTGTGTTCAGTCCTAGATATTGCTCTGTCTCCGAGCACTTCTTGGGGGGTGGACCCCTGAACATGGCTGAGTGTGGCCCACAACAACAGCAAAATGAAAGGATCCAAATGGTGTCATTTATAAAACTTAAATTTTAATCACTTAAATTTTGCAGTTAATGCCTTATAATGAAACATTATATGCATATGTAACAAATATATAAAATTCACTTATGTGCATCTTATATATGACATATATAGATATAAATGGTGTCTAAGAAATAATTTTGGAAAATTGGAATAACCCAAACCATCTTGAATTATTGGTCATGAGCTATAAAAACGCCCTACCGCTGTGGTAGGGTGTTTGCCTTGCATGTGACCGACTCGGCAGAGCAGGGTTCGATTCCTCCTCCCCTCTTGGCGTGCCCGGAAAGCTACTGAGAGTATCTCACCCGCACGGCAAAGCCTGGCAAGCTCCCCGTGGTGTATTCGATATGCCAAACACAGTAACAACAAGTCTCACAATGGAGACGTTACTGGACCCATTCAAGCAAATTGATGAACAAAGGGAGGACAGTGCTACAGTGCTACGGAGCTATAAAAAAGAACAATAAAAGCCACTAAAATAAGCAGAGAGTACTTTGCTTGTGTTTCCACCTTTGCCTGGGCTGATCAATACTTTTGCACATATCATAACGGGTATATTTCTAATGATTAGTGTTTAACATAATGATTATACTTCCTGGAGACATGGATATGTCCATTTTTCTTTGTTAAAAAATGGAATGGCTTTTAAGGAACTCAGATAAGCTTCCTGTTAGGTAAACAAATGCCTCAGTGCTGTAGAACTCTCAAATCTGCTGCAAAGAGCAGTCTCCTCTGAAAAGGAGAATGTCTGTGAGAGCAATCTGAATTCCTATTTGATGAAAATGTACTTAAGTGTTTCCCAAATTAAACATTCTCTACTGAGGATTGCATTCTTGCAAAATGTAAACTAAGAGCACAAGTTTTTAGACAGCAGTACAGCTTCTCCAGTATGGGGGATGACTGCTAGTCGAACCATTTTCAATCCATTACACTAACATAATTTAGAGGATTTATGGATATAGACATGCTTCATTCTCTTACTTTCTGAGTTAGAGTAAATAGCAGGAAAACAACCTTATGGCCATTTCAATGTGGCTTGATATCTTAATTTGATTCCTGCTTTTTCCTACAGTAAGAACTTCTTGGGGCTGAGGAGATGGTTCAACAAACTGAAACACACACTTTGTGTGCAAGACTCCCCAAGTTTGATCTTGAGCACCATGTTGCCCCTAGATACCACTGAGTGTGCCCCCACAAAAAGAATTTCCTTATGAAAAGCATGAATCTAGTAAGCCCCCCAGGATATTATGTATATGTATGAAATATGAAATATTTTTAAAAAGACATAGTGAATGACAAATTCCAAAGACATTGCTTATCATGTCAAAGAAGATGAAGAGTACGCTTATGAATAATGACAGTCATCATGTGACTAACCTATAGACCACTAGATATATTTTCTTTATAATTTCAGTTTATTGCAAACTGTCTCTTGGACAGGCAGTGAATCCTCTTTTGAACTGAAAACAAATACAGACATGTCACCTCAAAGCTGAAAGACTGAATCTGCAGTATTTGTGTGTGTCATTAAACACGTGTTTCAACCTGCAACCAGCCAAAGTCCCATAAAACACACAACTAAGACAGGGTTTTTATGAGTCACAAAAAGTGTGAAAGACAGCACACCAAAGAAAGAAGGCTTCAAAGATGAAAAAAGGAAGAATGCAAGGTGCCCCAGGTTAGCTGTTTCCTTATGCTAAAATTGAAGAAAAGATGTAATAAGGCAAAACTCTGATAATTAATTATATTAAAGTCTTCTGTTCAATGAAGAACAAATGCCATGGTCAAAAGGTAAATGGATAAGTGACATAAGGAAAAATGTTGTTATAATATATAAATCTGAACTAGCAAATAATTATTATTGAAAAAAAACAAGAAAATACTAGAAATAAGTAAGAAAGAAAGCAGATCAATAAAATAAAGAAAAGGGAGAAAAGAATACATTTTCATGAAAGGAAACCCAGTAAGTTAACGAGTATAAAAACAGTAGTAACTGGAGATCTTTACAGCATACAGCCGAAGAGAAGGCCACATGGAGGGCTGGCTCCACAGCCCCCGGAGAAAAAAACAGGTTACAAAAAGAGCCGAGATCATCGGGAAGTCCCAGATGGGGTAGGTGCCGCATCCCGCCTCCCCCAGATGGAACCCCGGTGACCAGAAGCCTCTACAAGCATAGCTCGAGTATGTGGGAACTAGAACATTTCCTCCAAACCGCACGGCCGCTTACGACATCTCTCTATATACAAAGTGATCAATGGGAAGTAAATCACCCAACGTTTCTCCCTGAAAATCAGAGTTAAGTTTGGAGCACGGCCACAGCCCCAGAAACACAAGGACTTAATGCAGAACCCAGCAGCTTGGAGCAGAAAAGTGAACGGACTATGCGTTAATCCAGGACATCATGTCTGCCTGGAGGGGAAAGGGTGTTGCCCCATTCGCCCTCTCTTCTCTGGAAAGAAGGATGGAGGCCGCATGGGAGCCTTGTGGACAGCAGGTATGAGCCGGGGGTGTGGGGGCGACTAAAACCTCATGGGAAGGGGGGCGTTCCGGTCCGTCCTTCACGCCCTACCGAGGTCACCAGTTGCCCCCCGCGAGCGGCTCTCCAGCACAGCCACGGCCCCAGAAGCACAAGGACTTAATGCAGAACCCAGTAGCTTGGAGCAGACAAGTGAACGGACTTTGCATTAATCCAGGCCATCATGTCTGCCCGGAGGGGAAAGGGTGTTGCCCCATTCGCCCTCTCCTCTCTGGAAAGAAAGATGGCGGCCGCATGGGAGCCTTGTGGAGAGCAGGTATGAGCCGGGGGTGTGGGGGCAACTAAAACCTCATGGGAAGGGGGGCGTCTCGGTCTGCCCTTCACGCCCTACCGAGGTCACCAGTTGCCCCCCACGAGCGGCTCTCCAGCACGGACATGACTCCAGAGCACAGAAACCAATTTCTTAATTATCTGACTTTCAGTAGAAATATTCCAGGGTTAATAAGTAAAATAGCAGAAATCCAAAACCAACATTTAATTCTTGAACCCAGCTGTAGAAAGCAAATCACTTCACAATGCTTTTTCAGCATGTCTGATTTTGGGGGGGTGGGTAAACTCTAAATAATAGTGGTGAATCTTTTATTGAAACAATGAATCTAATCAAAGCAGATAGAGTGTTAACTAGAATTCATCTGCCTCACAGGCACTGGGAGGGGTGGGGGGTGGGGTTTTATTGGGGTTCTTCATGGTAAAAAATAAGTATTGGTAAAGGGAAATGTGTTTGATATTTGCATGACTGAGACCTAAACCTGAAAGCTTTGTAACTTTTCCCACAGTGATTCAATAAATAAATAAATTTAAAAAAAACAGTAGTAACTGGAGATATACAAATTAAAATAAGATATAACTTTATATGTATTTATTAGTAAAAAATTTGAACTGCTAGAGAGAATGTTGGGTTATTGCAACACTTAAGACATTCTGGAAAGTTTTTGATACTATTTTTTTCAGACTAAGCTCCTACAAAGTCTAGGGTCCAGAAGTTTAGCTGTTAAGGGAACCCCTAAAATTCTGAGTTGGGAGACCAGAGGTGAAATTTGGATAGTGATGGAGGGTCCTTGGCACAATGGTTGTGGGGTGCAGTAACTTTGTATGTCAATCCTACAATCCTAAACATTATTGTAACCATATTACCTACCTATAAAAAAAGTTTTTTTTTAAAGAAATAAAGAAATTTCAACTTCAGTCTGCACATAGGCAGGCATAACATTAGGCACTGTCGCCTTTTGTTTGGGAGGTGAGTGGGTACTGAGTTTCCTCGTGTTGCTGAGAGCAGAGGGGTAAAATACAGTAAATGTACACCACGAAACATATGTAACCATGTGAAGCAACAGATTAGATGTACACACAGAGGATATACATAGATCTAGAACATTAGTGAGTAAACACAGTAAAAATTTGAAAACACAATAGCTGTTTTAGAAATTAAACGTTATATATACAAGAGCCTGGGAGAGAACTCAAAGGTCTAGCATGCATGCTTTGCATTCAGGAGGCCCAAGTTTGATCCCTGGCACTGTATAGAATCACAGTCCTCCAAGCACCACCAGAGCAGTCTTCCCATTCTCCCTATTCCCTGTACACCCAGAGCAGTATACAAGGAATATCTCCTGAGCATCCTGGGTGTGGCCCCCAACAATGCACTTGGGCTGAAGAGATAGTCCAGTGGGTAAGGTGCTTGCCTTGCATATAGCCATGCTGTGTTTGATTCCCAGCACCCCATAGGGTCCCCCAGAGCACTATCAAAGGGGAAACCCAAGGACAGAGCCAGGACTAAGCCCTGAGCACTGCTAGGTATGGCCCCCCAAACCAAAACACAAACAACCCCCAAATAACGATGTATACAAACTAGGAAGCATTTTAAAGAACAAACACAAAATGAGAGAAGCACACTAAGCATAATCAATTGATGAACACTCAGCTGGGGAAGGGAATGCGTCTGGAGAACAGCGTCGAGAAAAAATGAGTAAACAAAGAGAAGGGACCTGGATCTAGCAGAGAGGACTGTGTGCCTTGAACCAGATGGCAAATGGATCCGAACATCCAAAACTGAGATCCCCAAGTGGAGGGATACAATTCTCATTCCATGTCTACTTTTGAAGTGCACTGAACCTGATGGCGACCAGACTCTTGAAGGGCTTAGGCACTTCTCAAAAGTGCCAGCACCCAAATACATCCACTTCAATTAGAGAATCCTCCACAGGCTCAAATCAGGTCCTTACTAGAAAGTGTCTGGTGCTGAGTCAGAGGACCAAGTATTAGAGAACCATCTCTTCTTCCTCTCCATCAGGAATTGGTAAACTTTGTCCACGTGTGACACACCCCACCTTTTTTTTTTGCTTTTTGGGTCACCCCCGGTGATGCTTAGGGGTTACTCCTGGCTCATGCACTCAGGAATCACTCCTGGCTGTGCTTGGGGGACCATATGGGATGCTGGGAATCGAACCTGTGTCAGCCATGTTGGCTGCGTGCAAGGCAAACGCCCTACCTGCTGTGCTATCACTCCAGCCCCACACCCCACCTTTTAAAAGTACAATACTGAATAATACTGAATTACCAAGTTAACAGTTATTCATGGTTGAGTTTCAGGCATATAATAATCGAACACCGATCCTTTATCAGTATTTACTTCCCTTCACTGATATCTCCAGTTTCCCTCCTGGTGCCCAGACTGCCTCTATGGCAGGCATCCCTCTTTCTTTTTTTCCTTTAAGTTACTGTGGTCTGCAACACCACAGTATTGTGTATCATGCATATCACTTTTCTTCCTTTCAGCACCCAGCTCTCATCCACATCGACCACTTACCCCTGTCACTGTTGTGGCCCCTTCCAATTTTCATGACCGTGGATATATGACATGGGTATGAAAACCAAAAGTTTCTTTGAAAATAAAAGTTTATTTGAAAATAAATTTTGATAACTCCCACATTCAACTCCATAACCCCACGTGTGGCTTAAATGCGCAGCTTAAGACGTTATTGACTCTGTCTAGCTATTGGTGTGATGTTTATTTCCAACCTACTTGTGTATCGAGATCTCATTAGCTGAATTCTGTTAAATTCTAAAACTGCTACACGGCACCTAAGCATCCCCGCTCAGTTAATGACACGTGAGTTCGATTTTAAGTAGGAGAGAAAGACAGAGGGCACTTCAAGTAGCGAACACCATGCCACACCTATCACCAGTTCAAAAGGAAAAATCTCTAGGTTTGGAACTTGCCTAAACTACTTCATGATGGACAAATGTAGGCACCGAAGAAAAAGAGACCTTCCTTTCTTCCTTCCTTTCTTTCTTTCTTTCTTTCTTTCTTTCTTTCTTTCTTTCTTTCTTTCTTCCTTCCTTCCTTCCTTCCTTCCTTCCTCCCTCCCTCCCTCCTTTCTTCCTTCCTTCCTTCTTTCCCTCCCTCCCTCCCTCCCTCCCTTCCTTCCTTCCTTCCTTCCTTCCTTCCTTCCTTCCTTCCTTCCTTCCTTCCCTTCCTCTTCCTTCCTTCCTTCCTTCTTTCTTTCTTTCTTTCTTTCTTTCTTTCTTTCTTTCTTTCTTTCTTTCTTTCTTTCTTCCTCCCTCCCTTCTCCCTCCCTCCCTCCCTTCCTTCCTTCCTTCCTTCCTTCCTTCCTTCCTTCCTTCCTTCCTTCCTTCCTTCCTTCCTTCCTTCCTTCCTTCTTTCTCTCTCTCTCTTTCTTTCTAAATCCAGGTATTCTGATGTTTAATTTTAATCAAATGCATAGTTTTGAATTTTTCGTGCGTTAAACAGGTAACTGGTGTTACAAGAGACCCGTTTTCCTTCGGGCCACCAGGAAGCCACTCACTTTGTCCCCTTTCAGGAAGGTGATCCGGGAAGAGTCCGCGTTTCTCCGCTCCTCGAAGTCTTCCATGACCCGCGCCGAGAGGCCGCGCGTGCAGCAGCGCACGGAGGACGCGTAGCTCAGGTCTCCGCTGCGCACGATGGGCACATGCAGGACGCCATCCTTCTCCTGCACCCGCAGCGACTCCTTGGAGAACTGCATGCTGGGCACTGCGGAGAGAGGGCGGAGAGAGGGCGGAGGCACCATTAGCAGGAGACAGGAGGCGGCCTTGGCAGCCCTCACAGTCCCTGGGCATGAAAGAACTGCGGTGGGGTGGGGGAAGAGGGGGTCCCACGGAGGAAGGAGGGTGCTGCACTCAGGAAGGCTGCTCAGTGGCCGGGCCAGAGAGCTTCTTCACGCTGAGTGTGGCCCTAGTGACACAGAACCGCCACCTTTCACAACTGCCTTTCCTTTGGAGTTTGTTTTAATTTATTAATAAGTTATATTTATTGCACTGTAGCACTGTCTTCCCGTTGTTCATCTTTTTGCTCGAGCGGGCACCAGTAACATCTCACAACACATTATGAGACTTGTTGTTATTGTTTTAGGCATATTGAATATGTCACGGGGAGCTTGCCAGGCTCTGCCATGTGGGCGAGTTACTCTTGGTAGCTTGCCTGACTCTCCGAGAGGGGCGGAGGAATCAAACCCAGGTCGGCCGCGTGTAAGGTAAATGCCCTACCCGCTGTGCTATCTTTCCAGCCCAAGTTATATTTATTAATTTTAAAAAAAAGAAATGTTTTATTTATTTATTTTGGTTTGGGGGCCACAGCCAGGGGTGCTCAGGGCTTATTCCTGGCAGTGCTCGGAGGACCCTATGTGGTTTAGGGATCAAATTAGAGTGTGTCATATGCCAGGCATGCCCTAACGCCTGTACCAGCTCCCTGGCGCAGCTGCTTTTGTTCAGTTTCGGAGTATGGTCACCCTCTCAAAGGCAGGCGAGGCCAGTACAGAAAACGGCCACTGAACAAACTTGGGCGGAGGCTTCAGCACTAATTAAAATAGGCAACTAATTAAAATAGGGGAAAGAGGGACAGGGATGTGGTCAGTGTAGATGGCAGACTTGGCCCCGGGTTCAGTTCCCAGCCACATACACACACACACACATGCACACACACACACACACACACACACGCATACACACACACACACACATACACACACACACATGCACACACACACACACACATGCATGCGCACACACATGCAAGCACACACACGTGCGTGTAATAAAACGTGAAAATTTCGTGAATGCTGACAACAAGGCAAAGAGAGAGTCGGTCGGTGCCAAATGACCACACTCACATGTGTCCTGGCTCAAGCAGGAAACAGGGGAGAGTGGGAAACTGGTAGGGAGGAGATAGCAGGCACGGGACAGTGGGATGTGGGATGGCCTTCTCAGCATCCTGCCTCTGCTGGCAGAGCTACCTCGTTTTGAGCAAAGCCAGAAGGGACCTAGATTTTGAAGGCTCATCTCTGAAACACTAAGGTGGCAACTAATTAAAATAGGGGAAAGAGGGACAGGGATGTGGTCAGTGGTAGATGGCAGACTTGGCCCCGGGTTCAGTTCCCAGCCACATACACACACACACACATGCACACACACACACACACACACACACACGCATGCGCACACACATGCAAGCACACACACGTGCGTGTAATAAAACGTTTAGGGCCCAACAAAACATATGCATGCGCTAAATTTGGCCAGTGGGTCCCTAGTCTGTGACTCCTGTTACAATGTAACTTGATTCTTTATAACTGACAAAGCTCATCTGACTTGTGGTAAGGACTGTGGTCAAATAGTGACTTAAGACAAGAGCTTCAGAACAAAGGGACAGTCCCAGCTGGGCTACTTATTAGCTGTATGACAGAAGCCAAGTGCCATAAATTCTTCGGAGCCATGGGATTTAAAATATATATATATATATATATAAAATCCCATGAGTGAGCTGGGCTCACTCACTCAAATATATATATCAGACAGTATAGGGGGGGTTCAGGGGTTTAACTTCCATGTGGCCAACTCCAGTTGGAGCTCTAGCACTACAGATGCTCCAAGGGGGATGTGACAGTGATCCCTGAACACAGAACAAGAGCAAGTCCTGAGCACACCAGGTGGAGTCCCCAAAACAGAAACATAAAATAAATTGTAAATACAGGGACCAGATATTACAGCATTAGGTGTTGGCCTTGAACATGATCCTTGGCACCCCATATGGTCCCCTGAGCCTGCCAGCAGTGATCCCTGAGCGCAGAGCCAGGAATAAGCCCCAAGCACTGCTGGGTATGGCCCATGCCCCAGATTGTAAATGTTAACATTTATTAGGGAATTTAATGAAACAATTATGCAGGGGTTTCAATAGAGTACCAGGCACAACAGACACTCACATTTTGGTGGGAATTATAACATGATGGCATTGATTGCCACAGCTCCAGGATTATCAACAGGAAGGGTCCTTTCCCCCTCCTTACATACCACAACACCTAACAGATAACAGTAAAACCTACTGATATATCATCTTGATTGCCAGTTATTAATGTCTGAAAGAACAAGATAAGAGGTCCTAAGTTCTGCCCCCAGTTTTAAGTCAACACTCTAGTTACTGCAGGAAGCAGACCGAAAGCTACAGTTCTCTTGAATGCACCCAGGATGTAAACGAGTCACGTCTTTCTGACTGTCCTGCCCTGGTCAAACAAGGGGCGGTAGGAGGAATGGAGGAAGGAAGGACAGAAGGAAAGAGGAATAAAGGGGGCAAGGGAGGGAGAGAGGAAGGAGGATGGAAAAGAGGAAGGAAAGAAGGAAGGAAGGAAGGGAGGAAGGAAGGAAAATAGAGGAAGGAAGGAGGAAGAAAAGAAATCAGAATGAAGGAAGAAAAGAAGGAAGGAAGGAAGGAAGGAAGGAAGGAAGGAAGGGGAGAGGGAGGGAAAGGAAGAAAGGAAGAATGGAGGAAGGAAGAAGGAAAGATAAAAGAGGAAGGAAAGAAGGTAGGAAGGATGGATGGAAGGAAGGAAAGAAGGAAGGAAGGAAGGAAGGAAGGAAGGAAGGACGGAAGGAAGGGAGGGAGGGAGGGAGGGAGGAAGGGAGGGAGGGAGGGAGCACCCAAGCATTCTTCATGACGGTATGTAAGAAGCTCCAGCCTGCCCACAGCTCAGACCTGTTGGCAATAACACAACTGAAACAAAGGTTCTATCTGGTTCAAGGCTAACAGTTACCAATGAGTACTAAAAAACAAAGGCAAAAAGCAATAAGCAAAACAGAAATCCCCTCTTAACAGAATTCTCTACCTAAAGGGAAGTTAGTAATAATGCTGGTCTTAGGGTCTGCATGTGGCAAGGGCTCTGTCATCCTGTCAGGTGGCTACACTGTTAAAAGGTGCCTGGCAAGGACCTGGCCTGGCAGGGGAGTACACTTGTTGCCAGGTCAAAAGCAGCAGCAATAAGAAAGGGCTGGTGTGCATGGCAGATGACCCAGTGCTTTGGACTGGGTCCTCTTGCTGGTCCTCTTGCTGGTCTCCCAGGCACCTTGTCAGATGAGAAAGTTAAAATGTGAAAATGAGGGGCTGGAGCAATCGCACAGCGGGTAGGGCGTTTGCCTTACACGCGGCCAACCCGGGTTCGATTCCCAGCATCCCATATGGTCCCCTGAGCACCACCAGGGGCAATTCCTGAGGGCAGAGCCAGGAATAACCCCTGTGCATCGCTCGGTGTGACCCAAAAAGAAAAAAAAAGTGCAAATGATAATGTGTACATTCTGCCATATAGTAAGCAACTCAAGTTTTCTCTTGAGCTGTAGGAGAGTCCTTTTTGTTATTTAACAAAGTACTAACCATTCTCCTTATTCTTTCCAGAGAGAGGGTGGAGAGGGGAAGAAAGGAAGAAGGAAAGAAGAAGGAGGAGGAGGAGAGAAGGAGAATAATAATAAGAAGAAGATGAAGAAGAGGAGGAGGAGGAGGAGGAGGAGGAGGAGGAAAAGGAAGAGAAGAAGAAGGAGGGGGAGGAGTAGGGGGAGGAGGACAGGAGAGAAGGAGGAGGAGGAGAAGAAGAAGAAGAAGAAGAAGAAGAAGAAGAAGAAGAAGAAGAAGAAGAAGAAGAAGAAGAAGAAGAGGAGGAGGAGGAGGAGGAGGAGGAGGAGGAGGAGGAGGAGGAGGAGGAGAAGAAGAAGAAGCAGCGGCAGCAGCAGAAGAAGCAGAAGCAGAAGCAGAAGCAGCGGCAGGAGCAAGGAAAGGGGCAAATGATTTTTCTGATTTGGAAGCTGGCTGGAAACTGTCTCTGCTTTTAAAAATACTCCTGACCCCGGTCCAGGAGATGAGAACAAAAGAGCTCAGGAGTACCATGTCACTAGCACAGGCCAAAGCAACGATACAAAGCAGGGCCCAGCACGGGCAGACACTGCATCACATGCCCGGGACAGGTCACTTCCTGCCATCCTCTACAGCCCTACAGGCCACTGTCACGCGGGGCCTGGCTTGGCGGTCAGTTCGCACAGCACTGCAGCACGTGATGGTGGCCTGGCGCTCACTCTGAAGCACCTGTGCTGTGAACGTGCCTTTCACAATCTATTTCCCTCACCACAGCAGTGCCCGGGAGAAGCTTCTCTTTCTGGTCCAGGGCCTGGACTGTTCATGTGTCACCATTTTATGTGTCATGTGTCCTGACAGAGATCAGGGACTCTTTTCCACCCCTCTGTAGATCCCACAGAAGACTGAGCACTGTCTTAGCCACAGACCATGTTCACTAGCTGCTGGGCTCACTCATGTTTTTGGTAACCGACAAGGGAAACGCAAATACCGATGCTGGGGATTTGACGGGGTCTTCACGGAAATGATGGAATTGGCAGTGTGGGGAGGGTCAGGGGGCAGAACTTGCCATGCTGGGGATTAAACTCTGCCTCACACAAGGATGGGCTCCATCCTTTTGAGTCTGTCCCTAAGATCTGGTTTAACTGCGCCTTCTTCACCGCCTCTGGGTGTGATCCTAAACAGCTGATTCAACCTCCTTTTCACAAACTGAAGGTTAGAGATACCATCAGATTCCCCCCCCCCCAATACACATGGAGAAAAACTCAGCACAAGCTATTCTTTGCTATTACCGTATGGAAGGAAAATTAACCCAAGCACCTGTTGGACACAACAATGGGTTTCTGAAATAGGTTTGGGGATTTCTTTTTTGTGGGATAAATTCTCAAATGATTATGTATTGATGTAGCTTTCATGAAAGAGGAGAAATGTTTTAACAGTTTCATTTTCTACACTTGCAATGCTAAAGGCCATCGACAAAATATGGAGAACAATCTAAATGGGATCTTTCTTGTTGATCACAGTAAAATAAGGTTTGTGTGTATTACTGATACTTTATTGGAAAGTCTCATAAACTACATATGTGTCAAGAAGAAAAGATATGAACACAGAATAAAATTTATGTGCCAAATATGATATTTTCAGATTTATCTAATTTAATCCATACAATAACCTTGTGAGGTAGTATTTCCATTAATTATGCATAGAAAATGAGGCTTAGTAATCTCAAACTATTAGAGTAAGGCTAAAGAGCAAGGAAGTGGTGAAGCTTTGATTTTAGGACTTGAAGTTTAGGACTTTTGGCCTGGCTTTCATTTTCAACTTTTCCAAAAGGAGCCAGAGAGAAAGACTAGTGGGTAAGGCACTTTGTCTTACACGTGACTGACCCCAGTTTAATCCCTGGTACCACATATGATTACCCAAGCACTGCTAAGAGTGACCCCTGAGCATGAAGTCCGGAGTAAACCTTGAGCACAAACCTTGAACACAAAGTTCTGAGCACTATATGTGACTCAAAATCTATCAATATTTGCATATATTTTCAGAACGCAAGTATTAATTCAGAATTTATAACAATGCAACAATAGAAAGGGCTAGTGCAATTTAAAAGGGGTAAATATTTTAACAAAATACGTCACCAAAGAAATCGGCAAGCAGGCACCTGAAAAGATTTTATTGTCATTTGTCACTAGGGAAATGACCTTAAAACCACAGGGTATCACTAGGAACCTATTATACTAACTTAAAAAGGTTACAAAATCTTAACAATATCACATGTTGGTGATGAGGCGGAACAACTAGAATTCCTATATACTACTGGTAATAATGTAAAAGGTCACATCCACTACGGAAAACACTCTGGCATTTATTTATAATGTTAAACACTTACCATTTTACCCCAAGCACTCACTTTTAAGCATTTACCCAAAAGAATTGGAAACCATATTCATAGGAAAACCTATATGCAAATATTTAAGCATTTTAGTTCTAGCAGCCCAAATCTGAAACTAAAGCAAATGCCATTGAACATGTGAATGATGGGAAAAAAATCCCTGTGGTACATGAAGACAATGAGAAAATACTCAGCAATGAAAGGGATGCACTACTCATATGTATTGCACGGATGCCTCAAGTGGATTAGTACTATTATTCTTTTTTTAGGGGAGTGAGGAAGGACTACATCAGGTAGTGCTCAGGGCTAACTCCTGCTTTGTGCTCTGGGATAACTCCTGGCTTTGTGCTCTGGGATCACTCCTGACTATGCTCAGGGACCATATGGGACGCTGGGGACAGAACCAGGCTCAGCCACATGCAAGGCAAGTGCCTTACCTGCTGTACTATCACTTTGGCCCCTCAAGTACATTATACTAAGCGAAAGAAACTAGATTCAAGATGCTACATATTACAGGATTCTACTTTTATGACATTTTGAAAATGGCAAATCTTTAGGGAGAGTGGACAGAGCAGTGTTTGGCAGGCATTGGACATGGAAGTTGACTACAGAGGGGCGTGAGAACGTGAAGGGTTGGAATTGTTTGACATCTTAACAGGGGAGCAGGCAGGGAACTGTGTGCATGTATGAAAACTCGCAGAATCATCCAAGAAGGTGAATTTTAATCATGTGCATTAAATTTCAATAGAAATAGCTCTAAAATAAGATGTCACTTTGATTATACACACTAAAACTAGACACACATACCTGTATGTATTTATCTATCTGCTAACCTCGACATACATGCCTACTCACCCAACTCTCACACTCACACCACACATAGGATACTACAAAATTATTGGTAAAAAGTGTGTGCAGGAAAGAGAACTGCAGAATTGGAAGACAGAAGGAAGAACATCATGGTCTGCCTTTTACCTTCTTAGTCATTTGATTATCATCTTTGTAGAAGTAAGTTATTTAAAAATAAATAGAAACTTTGACAATCACCCAATTGTGCTTCCTGTTCATCTTCAGTGACTTCTCAGAGGATGGAAAAGTTGAATCACAGGCTCTATGGCAATTTGGGTGGATACTGAGGAGGGAGGGCTGGAGCAATAGCACAGCGGGTAGAGCGTTTGCCTTGCGCTCAGCTGGCCCAGCCAAGCCTGGTTCGATTCCTCTGCCCCTCTCAGAGAGCCTGGCAAGCTACTGAGAGTATCTCGCCAGCACGGCAAAGCCTGGCAAGCTACCCGTGGTGTATTCAATATGCCAAACACAGTAACAACAAGTCTCACGATGGAGACGTTACTGGGCCCACTTGAGCAAATCGATGAATGACGGGAGGACCGTGACGTGACTGAGGAGGGTTCTCCCTGCTTTTGCCGGGAGGTTTGACTCAATCTAGCATTGGACAATTCTAAATTTCTGCAGTCCTTTCAGAGATGCCACTATTCTTCTCTGTTCATTCTCATGTTGTTTAGGTGAGATCTTGGGTGGCGACTCCTATTTTTCTCATTTCCCTGTGCCTACTCACTTCTGCACACCTTTCTCGGGAGAATCAATGATCAATTCCTACACACAAACATACCTCTCCTCTGCTCCTAGCATGTGCCACTCCCCTCTGCTCAAACTCCCTAGTCTGGAACTTAAGACCTCTTTGAACTTAGCCATATTCAGTCTCATTGCATTTTCTTCTCTTCACCTCCCATAGCATTCAAAGCCAAAGTGTTTTTTTCATAGTCTCACGGGTTTTCAAATATGGATTCATTAAAATTTTATATTTACATCATGGGCTAGAGCGATAGCACAGCGGTACATCGTTTGCCTTGCATGCAGCCAGCCCGGCCCAGCCGGGTTTGATTTCTCCTCCCCTCTCGGAGAGCCCGGGAAGCTACCGAGAGTGTCTCATCTGCACAGCAAAGCCTGGCAAGCTACCTGAGACGTATTCAATATGCCAAACACAGTAACAACAAGTCTCACGATGGAGATGTTACTGGACCCGCTAGAGCAAATCGATGAATAACGGAAGAACCGTGACCGTGATTTATATTATACATATATCTATATACATACAAGTACATATATATAGATATATAAAATCTTTCCATCCAACAAAACTATATTTTATTATCCATTCATAAACTTCTTTTTCTTCTATTTTTTTAGCGGGGGTGGGGGCATTTGGATTTTAGGCTACACCTGGAAGTGTGCTAGGCTTACTCCTAGCTCTGTGCTCTGGAATCTCTCCTGGTGGTTCTGGGTGAGGGGTGTATTTGTGGTGCTGGAGATCAAATTCAGTTGGCCATAAGGCACGTGCCCCTTGGACCTGATTCAATAAACTTCTATCAATATGAACATTGATTAAATATAAGGTCCTTCGTGATATCTTTTTATATTTATTCCATATATAGTTACTTTTCAGGAGCAATAGCACAGCGGGTAGAGCATTTGCCTTGCATGCAGCTGACCCGGGTTCGATTCCTCTGCCTCTCTTGGAGAGCCCGGCAAGCTACTGAGAGTATACCGCCTGCACAGCAGAGCCTGACAAGCTCCCCGTGGTGTATTCGATATGCCAAAAACAGTAACAACACGTCTCACAATGGAGATGTTACTGGTGCCCGCTAGAGGAAATCGATGAACAACAGGAGGACAGTGCTACCTTTAACTCATTGTTCAAGATTTACAGCACTATTAAAGCATCTGTTATAATACATCCTGACTTTTATGTGCCAGAAATGCATAGTTATTTCTATATAAAAATGTGTATGTGTATGTGCTCACTCACACACACACACACACACACACACACACACACACACACACAACTACATTCACTTCTTGAATGGAAATGGAAATGAATTTTAATGTCTTCTACATGGAAGACGAGGAAAGTCAGAAGTGTAGTCCTCTTAGTCACCTGCTGTCACCCCAGTTACTTACCATCTTGGAATGTGTCATTAATTGCAATAACAGCCTGGAAGGGTTTGGTCAGTTCGGCCCCTTGTGCTGAGCTGAGGAAGACCACAAAGGTCTCCAGCCCTTCGATTACTGGATACTGAGTGTCATCCAGGATAGTCAAGGTGCAATACTAGAAGAAAAACCAGGGTGTTAATAGACTTGTATTAATTATATATATTCATAATATAGACAAATATCGAATCATGTACCCCTGAAACCAGCATATATCATACGTATCAATTATATACCAGACATTTAAATAATTAAAATAATTTGAAAACCAAACCAAACCAACAATATAGATAGCAAAATACTTAACACCCATTTGCCTTTGGGAAGCTTTCTTTGGTGGTCTCTAGAATACATTATTATTATCATTATCATCATTATTATATTATTCCTTAGAATACATTTTTTATTCTTTTGTTGGTTTGGGGACCATACCTGGTAGATGCTCTGGGCTTACACCTGGTCTGCACTTCCTTTCTGGCAGGACTTTGGGGACCATATGGGATGCTGGGATCAAATTCTGGTTGGCCACTTGCAAGGCAAGTACCTTACCCACTGTACTATCACTCCAGCCCCCAACTACATTATTCTTGGTTAAGTGTTTCATTGGTAAAGGAATTCACTTTTATTCTCTCTTCCCTCTGTTGATGGCGTAGCAAGGACTGGGGTTTGCACACACGCTTGGTGTGTTCTTAAACAGCAGGTCGTGGTGCTTGAAACTGGCCCAAGGTGCTTTCTTGGGTCATGGTCCTTTGAGCTTGTACACTTGTACACATGCTCACAGGGGTTCATACTCTTGGCTGTGGTGCTCACACAGATTCCAATCATTGTGCTTGCTAAGAGTATGGGTGGGGAATCACTAGGGTCTCACACACAAATACCCACCAAGGGTCACACTCTTGTCTGTGGTGCCCACACACTTCTTTCATGGAGGTGTGAGCACCTTCTAGAGTGGTGGTGCTGCCACTCACCTGGAAGTTGTGTACTTGGGAACTGCTATGGCACTGAGGCTCATAGAGGGTAGAGCCACAGAGACATGGGCAGAGATCTCACAATCTCACACTGCACCACCACCTGGACTCCTTCAAGGACATGTTCTGTTTATTTGGGGGTCACAGCTGACGGTGTTTAGTGCTTGGAAAACTGGAACTATGTGCTGCTGGGAAGTGAATCTATGTTTCCTGCAGGTGAAGCAAGCGCTAGCCTCTGTGCTAGCTCCCTGGCCCTTTAAGTATGTTTTATAATCCATAGGAACGATTAACACAAAATGACCTCTGTGGTTTCTTTTTGTTTGTTTCATTTTGGTTTGGGGTCACACCTGTCGGTGCTCAGGGATTACTCCTAGCTCTGTGCTCTGGGTTCACTCCTGGTTTGGGAGGGACCATATGTGGTGCCGGGGACCAAATCCAGGTCTGCCAAGTGCAAGGCAAGGCCCAACCCACTCTCCTATTGTTCTCATGCCTAGATCTGTGGTTTCTAACCAAAATTCTAGGTGTGTGGTTTCTAACCTAAATCAATGAAGGGAAGCAGTACTGTTAGGGGTGCGGCATTTGGACTAGAGATAGCTATATTTAGCAGACTAGTGATATCATTTTATTTATTTTTTTCTTTTGCTTTTCGGGTTACACCCGGCGATGCACAGGGGTGACTCTGGGCTCTGCACTCAGGAATTACACTTGGCGGTGCTGGGGGACCCTACGGGGTGCTGGGAATCAAACCCAGGTTAGCCACGTACAAGGCAAATACCCTACCCGCTGTGCTATTGCTCCAGTTCCAGTGGTATCATTTTAAAAATAACTCTCCTGACCTTCGGCTGCAGTTCACTCACCTGCTCAGTGACCCCTGCGCCAAACTCCACCTTCCTCGAGCTGGGGACATAGTCCACTCCCGGCGTGGCCGACGCTGGGTCTGAGGGGCGCGTCGCACACCAGACAGATGTGAAGGTAGACAGGTCAGTGCCGTGGCGGATAACTGGGATCTTCACGGTACCTGAGTGGGAGGCCCAGAGATGTCAGCATCAGCCCAGGGCCAGAAAAGAAGGAACATCTTCAGTCCCTCTCCCTCCCAGTGGCAGCGGTAGAGACTTCACCTCCTGCTGCTGCTGGTGCAGTGACAGGGGTGAGCTTCTATCTCCTGGCCAACCCGGGGAAGATGGAACGCGGCCACTGAGCATTGTTTATTCAGCCTCAGATCATAAGCAGCCTCATAGAGGTGGTCCTGAGGGTCAACCCCCAACGGAAAGTGGATCTGTAGCTCCCCAAATGAGAATGTTCACAGGAGAGATTGGTGAAAACTATCCCAAGCCTTGAGAGAAAGAAGAAACCCAGAGGCCGGGGCCTCGGGGAGGCACTAGAAAAGACTCAATTAAGGAAGAACCAGCTAGGGAACTCCATGGGACCCGAAGCGGAATGTTCCTAATTAAATATTCCTGACTGGGTTGATTTCCCTATTTAATCCAAGTGGTGCGCACCCAGACATTACTTGTTTATCGATTTTCTCCAGAATGTAGTTCAACTTCTGGTTCACTGTGACATTATACTTTGTAGGGTTCTAATAACGAGAGGTAGATTTTTAACTGTTTCACAATCAAGGTCAGAGAAAACTTAGCAAAAAGCCCATCCATCACACTTCTCTAGACAATAAGCCCATGGGGCACCAGGATATCAGGGCTGGTCACTGGGTGAATGGTGAAAGGAACATTTCTGATAGAAAGCTCTGATTTCTAATCCCACTCTTCTGTATTAACTACTTGATGATATAGGACCTCCCTGAGTCTCACTTTGCTCTTCTCTGGAATGTTATCTGGAATGTAAGTGAGAATGTTTGGAATGCACAGCCCTGGTCTCTGGCATTCAGGAAGTGCTCAGGAATCCTTGCTCTCACTGGCTCTCTGAGTACCACCCTCCAACTGGGAAAACATCTTGATTGGGTGGCTCGGAGAAGTGGACACTCCTCCCAGCTGCTGACCTCTGGCTATGCATCTGCTGACAGCAGGCAGACCATGTCCAGGCCCCGCGGAGGCAGAGGAGTGAGCGAGTCTGAGCGCCGTGAGCCTGCCACCGACTGCTTTGGGCTATTTTGTGATTAAAAACATTACACTATCTAGACACGACAACTTTTGAAATTGATTTTGTTTCAGCAGCTAGCAGGGTACCGCTAACGTATTCATCTTCAATAGATCACATACCCTTTTTTCAACAAAGCCAAAAAACCGCACAGACTGTCTCCTGGACCAGAGAGTCCAGCCAGTGCGGCTCTAAGTCAAATCCCTCCCTGCCACCAGGAATGAGAAAGAAACTGATGAAACCACCTCTTCTTTACCATGGAGACATTCCTGGATTTGGTGCATGGCCTCAAACCACAGTGGTGCCCTGGAGTGTCTTAAAGGCATCCCCAGAACCAAGAGGACCTGGTAGAGAAAGCGACCGGAAAGGCATGCTGGAAGTCAGAGATGGTCTCCCTTACCTGCATCCTCGCTAACCGTGAAGGCCGTGTTGCCCAGGGACACGGTGGAGGCGTCATTGGGACCACTTATGAGCACCTTGGCGGATGCCACCCTCCCAATGCGGGCATTGTCAGAGGCATCTGCCAGAACAATCTCAAACTCTTCTTCGTCTTCATACTCGCTGTCGTCAATGAGCATGACGTCACAGGTGGACTTGGTCACCCCGGGCCCGAAGATCACACGACTCTCCGCAGACATTCCTCTCGATTTAAAATCAGAGCCCGATTCAAGAGCATAGAGGCTGCTGCCCATCGCCGACTTAGGAACCGTGTAGCAAACTGCAGACACGATGCTGCTTGAGTCCCCTGAAATACAGACATCTAAGCGAGCTCTTCTCAGAATGCCAAGTCTGGTCATAACCGAGCTAGACCTCGCCCGACAGGTGCTGTGACTACTTCTGTTTGAACTGTGAACACGAAGGAACCCTCTGTATCCTAGTTTTAAGTTCTACTGGCACAGACCACTTGAGGATTTAATAGGCCCCAGATATTCCACCACACAACTTAAAATGGATTTCCTATTTTGTGAATTTTGTGCTCTGTTAATTCACAAGAATCACTGCTCACCAGCTAAGACCACAGTGGGTAGAAAGATAAGCGGCATCTTTGGTATTTTAAGAAGCAAAGTAATTGTGTCCTGAAGGTAGTGTTCTGAGAACAGTTCACTGCCTTTCTGAATAAACTTCTGCACTTTAATTCCCAGGGAGAAGCAAGATTGTTTAAAAAAAAAAAAAGACAAAACAAAATAAAATCCACCCGCCTCTCTACAAATTACTTATTTGCTGCCACTTCCTTGGGTGACAGCCTGCTTTGGGCCCACTTTGCTGGCAAGACCTCAGGGATGCTTGTTCCAAGAGACATCACCAAGGGGTTATGCTAGCCACAGTGTTTGTTACACTAATACCCCATTAGCAGATTCATTAAAAACCCGATATCACCATTTACAGTCTTGTTATGACTTTGAATGGGAATTTAATTTCCATGTGTTTTCAAGTCTCTGTATTGATGTAATCATAACTCTATTCAATCTTTGTTTTCATAAGCCCATCAAATCTTTGATTTCTTTATCCCTCAAGAATTGCCCTTTATTTCCTCATAGTTCATTTCTCATCCACACTCTCTATGTAGGGCATTTTTCAAACACACTTTCTGTCTTCCATGAGCTAAATGGGACCAAGTCTAACAACTCATAACTTCTCTCTTTGATCAAGGTTACTAAATAATTCATAGATTGGGTGATTAAGAATCTAGCATTTATAAATAATTTGCAAAGCTAAATACAACTGGTCTTCTAGTCTCATTGAAGAATAAATGAAACTTTATGAACTTTAACTAAGAGTTTTCTGACCTTCCTCAATATGGGAGATTCAGGAAAAGGTTGTGCTAGAGAACTGAATGAGTTAGCGCATGTACAATAACAATACACAAGAGTTAATATGGTTCCTGAGCACTGGGTACACAGACGATTAGTTTATCACCAGTAAATGTTAGTCGTGGGTATAGTGTCATCTTTGGCACCGACAGACCTTTTCTTTCAATAGGTGCAAACAAAAACCCGGCACTCTCGTTGACTCGGTAGGTCTTCTTATCAAACTCCAGAGTGGGTTCATCCTCAGTGTCATTGATAATGACCTTGGCCTGGGTGATCTCCCCTAACAGGGCATATGCCGGCATGCTGAGCTCCACGGTGAAACTTTCGATATTCTCAAACACATCATCATCATTGATGACAATGGTGCAGGACTTGGTGTCCTCTCGCTCGTCAAACTGCACCTGTCACAGGAAAACAACCAAGGAACTAAGCTGGGCCTCCACTTCTTCTATCTGCCTCTGCGGATGATGGAGAAAGGGGTCCCATGCCTAGGAAGTGACTGGAATGTCAGGTTTCCCCCATCCTGACTTCCCATTGTACTGGAAATGCTTGGCTACCCCTAGCCTTTCTCCATAAGTACCCTGGGACTGATTGCCTATGCTGCAGTAGAGAAGGCAAATATACTTTTTATAAGTGGGTCTACAATTCTTTCTTGCATATTTTTTGGGTGCGCAGGTGGTCCTGGTCTGGGTTGAATGGCTCAGTGCTTGTTCTAGTGCTGTGGTGCTCCAAGGGCCCAGTGGAGCTTGAGGGTCCTTGGGGCTCCACCAACTGGTGCATGGGGGTTTGTGGTGTAGGGGACTCACCATGTAGGCATTCCTGACCTCTGGGACCTCTTAGCCTGATGTTACAGTTTAGAAAAACAAGTAGCTGACTGTGCACGCTCTGATGAACTCACTTGGGACACCCAAGAGTCATTTGATTACTCAGTTCCTTTCCTTTGTTTTCCTTTACTCTATTTTTTGGGGTTGGGGGCCACACTCAGCAGTGCTCAGGGCTTACTCCTGGCACTGAGCTCACTCCTGGAGGTGCTTAGGTCACCACATGTGGTGTTAGGGATTGAACTCAGAGGAGCTCTGTGTAAGCAAATGCCCTACCCGCTGTTCTATCTCTCTAGTCCTCAGTTCTCTTTTTCTGTGTGACAAGACTAATTAAATCAATCTTTGAATTGGGAGGAAAGGTCTGGCCTCTGCCTTATTTTAATTCCGTCCAAGTAAGTTAGGCTATAACACTACAAAGATTAGATTCCTCATTTGCTAAATAATAATAATAGTGACATTCCTATACTACATACTTATTGGGAAGACTAAAAGCAATTGTGTATAATAAAAACACAAAGTGCATTTTAAAAGTTATGAACAAGTGTGAACTGTTAACACTATCCCATCACAGTATTATTTATACAACCAAAATGGCGTAGAAGAATTCAGAGATATTTACATTATGAACAAGTCAGACTGCATTTTAACTTTTTAAAAATTTTAACTAACTAAATGCTTTGCCATTAAAAGATGAGTGAGACCACAGTCTGGAGCTGGCTGGGATGGTGCAAGCCTGCACGAGAGGTCTTAGGTTCAATTGCTAGCCCTGGCAAAAAAAAAAAAAAAGATAACTTTTTTGGCTAAACATGAAGTGATTTTACATGAATGCAACTGAGAATATAAAGGGTTGAGTCTGGTTTTACTTTGTCTAAAAAAAAATAAGTGAATCCAGGGGCTGAAGTGATATTACAGCAGAGAGGCACTTGTGTTGCACGTGGCCGACCTAGGTCTGATCCCCAGCATCCCATATGATCCCCTGAGCACTGCCAGGAGTGATTCCTGAGCTCAAAGCCAGGAGTAATCCCTGAGCATCACTGGGTGTGACCCAAGAACAAAACAAAAAACAAAAAAATAAAACATGGCCAAGGGACTTGGCCAGTCATTCAGTACCTGGCACACATGTGCCCCCAACATCACAGCACGCTTCCTGGTGGCCTGAGCATGAATGATTCCCAAGCACTTAACACTTAACCTCAAAACGAATGTTTAAAAAGACAAAACTTATTTATTTATTTGAGGGAAGTACACCTGGCAGTGCTCAAAGGCTACTCCTGGCTCCGCATTCAGGAATTACCCTGGCAGTGCTCAGGGAACCATATTGGGTGCCAAGGATCAAACCCGGGTTGGCTGCATGCCAAGGAAACTCCCTACCCTGTGTACTCTGGCTCTAGTCCCTAAAAGACAAAACCTTTAAATAGAGCCAGGACTATTTGTTTGTCCAGCACTGGGATAGACCTGGATCAAATTCGTGTAAACCTACATAGCAGACATGTAAAAAAAAAATGTTGTCAGACTTCATGGGCACACAAATCTGAAAAACGCAGTTTTCATCAACAGTTACTACTATTCCACATATAATTTACCAAGCTCCAGATGTCTAAACACTCCCAACACAGTGAAATAGCTGCAAGCTCTCCCTTTCGACCCCGCACACACCGCCTCTGTCTGTGCCGTGCAGAAGTACCTGAACTTCTTACCAGGCTGCCAACAGGCTCCTTAGCTCAACTGTCTTTTCATAATCCCTGGTATTGGACATCAGAGCCTGCAGAAAATGCTTCAGATGATCCACAACTCTTTACATTGACAGAAATTCACTTTTTTTTTTTTTTTGCAATTTTGGGCCACACCCGACCATTCCTCTGGATCAGTCCTAGTGGACTCCAGGGATTATCTGGGCTGTCTGACCCTGAAAAAATTTCTTAAAAGTTAGTAATTTCCTGTAAAGTGCTAGACATTATGGTCTCTTTAAGACATGCAAAGGACAGATGGCCTGTGGTAAGGGACATCAGTATTTGGGCTCTGCTCCTTTTTCCCTTTGCCTTTCCGCTCTCTCTTCTCATTTGCTCACCCTGGCATTGGCCGTCATTACCGGAGTCAGAGACCTGCAGGCCTCTCTGTGTGCCCCGGGCCCCCTCTCGGCCCTCCCCACCAGCTAGCACGTCTCCCAGCTCACTGTCTAAGACAACTCCAGGCAACAGGTCCTAGGCAGGGTGAAGACCACTCCCTCACCATCTTCTGACAGTGCGCTCTTTCTGTCTCACTTCTGTCTCTCTCTGGAAGTGGTGCTTCCAAGAAGTGCTCCCAGGGCCTGGGGATCACCAGGAGGTCCTGGTGATCCTCAGTCAACCAGACTGACAGTTTAATACTCGGGTCCAAGATCATGATGCCCTCAGGCCCTGAAGCACCAGACATGGCAGTGAGCATCTTGGCAGAGCTCAGGGGACCATGATGTGCTGGGACCCACCTAGTGTTGTGGACTACATGTGAGGCACACACTCAACCCTGCCCTCTCTTGTCCTGGGCCCCCCTAATCTAATCGCTGCAAATCCTTTCCATCCTTATTCAGTCGCTGGATGCATACACTTTTCTCCATCTTTACTTTAAAATTAGTTTATGTTCCCACCCTCTCTCAGGTGATTATCTACCAATAGCTTCTCGATGACCAACTCGTTCTTCCTTTTCTTCAGATAAAGAATATGCAGGCAGAGAGGAAGGCTTTGAGAACAAGAGGCTCTGGAAACTCTGGACACCACGAAGCAAAAGGCAAACACTTCCAAGGAGCTGGACAACATAGGTTTTTGGCAGTGAAACTCGGAGGAAGATTAGACTGGAAAGAACACCGTCAGGAAACTTGGTGATGAAGGACACTAACAAAGGGAAGATGGGGGAAAGAGAGGTGGAGGCATCACTGGGGCCTAGAGCCCTGACTGGAGCCTGCCGGTGGTCTGGCAAATGACAGCCCCTAGGTCACCTACCTGGCCGGCGTACTCCATGTAGTCCTGCTGGCCAGGCGGGGAGCCGACCCTGGAGCTGGAGCTGGCAGAGCCTTGCTCGGTACGACACAGGACAATGGCATATTGGTTGAGGTTCCCATTCCTCTGCACGGTGACGCTGACGGACCCCGCCTTCTCACTGACATTGTAGCTGGAAGCACACAGAGAGGCATTCTCTGAAATTTCGCAGCCTGCGTGAGAACATCTAATTGCACAAGGCCTGCCTTTTCCGGTTGGTTTTTGGTGTTGGATGGTTGACAGTTTGGGTTTCTCTAAGAAACAAGGGTCTGTAGGCAGGGCTGTGTCTCTCTGGCATTGTCATGATAAGTGGCTAAGGAAGCTCTGAATGCAGTAGAGTCTTGCCCTCTATTCAAGTCTTGCCTTCAATTTTTAAAAAGAATTGAAGGTTCATCCAGAGCACAGAGGAACTAACAGTTAATATTTGAGAATGCAGAGCAACAAGGGCTGGAGCGGTAGCACAGCGTTAGGGCATTTGCCTTGCACGCGGTGCACCGAGCAGACCCGGGTTCAATTCCTCTGCCCCTCTCAGAGAGACTGGCAAGCTTCCGAGAGTATCCTGCCTGCACGGCAGAGCCTGGCAAGTTCTCTGTGATATATTCAATATACCAAAAACAGTAACAATAAGTCTCACAATGGAGACATGACTGGGCCCACTCGAACAAATTGATGAACAACTGGAGCACAGTGCTACAGTGTGGAGAAACAAGAAATAATTGTTCCTTTGGGCAGTCACAAGCCTCAGTCAGTGGATGTAGGGGGAAGAAAGTGACTTAGCAGGCAATTCATGACTTAGGTTAGGAGCAGTTCCAGACCAGAGCTCTGGGAAGTGTAGAACGGAGTTTGGGCAAGTGACGAGGGAAGACAGAGAATTGGCATCGATCATAGGTATCTAGACAAAGGGGGCTCTGTGAAAGTGAGGGAGTGATAGTGTACCGCAGATTGAGTATCCTCCACACCTCCAACTCATCCAGTGCAACCCTGCCCCGCCATGGGAGAGGATTTTATTTGCTCACGAGAGTGGAGTGCTCATGCTTGGTATTCATGTCTCTTATAAAAGAGACCCCAAGGAGCTCTTGCTCCCAGCTGCCATATGAGAACAGAGAGAGAGGCCACTGAAGCCAGGATCAGGCACCAAATCTGCTGACGCCTTGGTTTTGGTCTTCCCAGTCTGGGGAATGGTGAGACATACATTTCTGTTGTTTAGATACAGGTATGGTATTGTGTAATGTCAGCATGATTAAACTATGGTACAAGGTTACCTTTGTTTGCGGCTATGAATTTGCAGTTTTGCAAAGTAAGAGGCAAATTATCCAAGTGCAATTAATCGGTAATAAGTCTCTAGGGTTCAATAAACTATATGTGTGACCTGAGTTTTCCTTTTCATCACTGAGGATGGTTGTTGGACCAAGGCTTAGGTACCACTGTGAGAGTTGCAGGTAAGTGCTTAGGTTTCATTGGCAGCCGTACACCCTCTTTCTGTCTCTGATGCTTTGATGTCATGGAAACATACGATGGTACAAATCTCATAATTGTAAGTACTAAATGAGACAAGGTCCTATTAAATGTCTAGAACAGTGTTTAATGCTATAGTTTTGTTTGTTCTGTCCTTGGGCCACACTCAGTGATGCTCCAGGGTTATTCTTGGCTGTGTACTCAGGAATTACTCCTGGCAGTGGTCAGGGGACATATGGGATGCCAGGGATCGAACCCGGGTCAGTAGTGTGTGAGGCAAATGCAATACCCAGTGTACTATTGCTCCATCCCTGATGCTTCAGTTTTTGAGAATTACTTGGAGCTACTGTTGTTATTATTGCTACTACTACACAACCATCAGCAGATGGACATGAGGGCTTCATTCCATTTTCCAAGTCTGAACACACAGCAGCACACGTACCTGGTATATTTAAAGCTAATGACGGACCACTGGATGTGGAAGACATTGTCCCTGACCACATTGGGTTTACTGTCTTTCACCAGAAACTGGAAACTGTCCATCATTTCATGGATCTTCTCTTCGAGCAACACATAACGAATCAGCCCCAAGTTCACCTCCTCTGTAAGAGAAAAGATACTGAGTTAGCCCAGGGAATTAAAGACAATCTCATGGATTCCCACGCCAATACACCCAATTTATCCTCCTAATGGGTTACTGACAGAACTTCTTTTGTCAGGAAAAACAAAGGATAGCAGTTTTAAAAATAAATGTTTCTGTCAGAATTTAAAATAAAATCCTGTAGCTCTTTGTAACAAAGACCAGTCTCTATGTATAGAAAAATGTCTTTCTACTACTATAAAATGAGAATATCAGGGTTTTGATGTAAAGAAAGCACTCTGATGTTATGCCATATATATATATAAAAGTTATAATATATTATATAATGTTATGTTCACGGTCATGGTCCTCCCGTTGTTCATCGATTTGCTTGAGCGGGCCCAGTAACGCCTCCATCGTGAGACTTGTTGTTACTGTGTTTGACAAATTCATTGTTATGTTATAATATAAAATCCATATTATAGGCTATAATATATTATATATAGCCTATATTATAATATAGTCTATATTATAGACTACAATAAAGCCTATGATATAAAAGTGTTTTCCTTATTCAAAATGCCTATGTGAATGATAACTATCACAGCTATCTATGGCACTAATGTTCTTGGTGTATTCCCTCTCCCTCCAAATATGTTCCATGCAACATATAAAGTCAAATCCTGCCATGCATTTCTCTCCTATAACAGGACTAGCATCATGCACTTAAAAACTGATAATTTTAATGTAAATGTGAGAACTGACACAGAGGGAAGTCTTTGACTACTCTGTTTAAATATTCTCATTCCTACCCCCAAATTCCTTCTAAATAAGGTTCTTTAGAAGGTAAGTGCTCAGAAGAAAGGCTAGGGGTGGATTACATAGTCCACATTGTCTGGCGCCAATGACAGAGGCCTGGAGAGGAGAGGAGCCAGGGAACAAGGAGAAGAGATGAGGCCTGGACATGACCAATGGCCGCTCCCAATCAGGGCCCTCCTTCAGTAAGCCTAGAAGATTCTGACAGTTTTATAAGAAGCTGACACACAAAACAATCTGCTGTGTGTGGTTCAAATAGAAGCAACCACTCAATGCTGATTTTAATTTCCTTGATAAGGACTCAAAAAAAAAAACCATAGAAAACAAAAATAAACCATCGAGGACTAGATCTTTTTTTTTTTTTTGCTTTTTGGGTCACACCCAGCAATGCTCAGGAGTTACTCCTGGCTCATGCACTCAGGAATCACTCCTGGCGGTGCTCAGGGGTTACTCCTGGCTCATGCACTCAGGAATCAATCCTGGCAGTGCTCGGGGGACCATATGGGATGTTGGGAATCGAACCTGTGTTGGCCATGTTGGCTGCGTGCAAGGCAAATGCCCTACCACTGTGCTATTGCTCCAGCCCCTCGAGGACTAGATCTTTCATAGTCAGATCACAGATTTTGTTTGGGGGATTTTTAAGCAAACCCATTTTTTAAAAAAAATGCTGTGTGTTCATTTCTAGAGAACTTGGCCAAAACCTAAAGCAATCTGGGTGCTGAAGATGTGGGGTAAGGATGAATTTTTCTTTGTCACAGTTCACAGGAACAGGGCAACAGCAGGGTGAGGGGGGACTGGGTGGGTGGGATGCAGGAGAAGCAAAATCCCAAACATTGATGGCAAGACCCTAAGAGATGTTTTTGTTGACAACTAGGTTACGTGCAGGTATAATAGCTAGGAAGTGACTAAGAAAAATTGGGGACTAGCAGGGGACTAGGTTTCTCCCACTTCTCAGGTGCCTGAGTGCCCACCCTGTGTGAACGTAGTAGTGGCCCTGCCAGGCTGTAGCTTGTTCTCCACGTAGCCATGGCTGGGCCCCACCATGATCTCATACACAAGCTGCTGGTCCTCCGTGTCCGGGTCCATGGTCAGCAGCTCTTTCTTGGTGATCAGGTTGGTGGCCTGAAATAGAAACCCATTAAATTTAATTCCTGAGGTGGGAATACAGTGAAAACAAGCCCCTCTGACTCAGATTTAATTCGGTTCAGCTATGATTTACTGAGCGCATTTGCTGCCTGGGAAACTCTGTCAGGATTTGAGAGGTTATGAGCATCGACACCATCCCAGCCTTGCCTTCAAGTGCTCCCACTTCACTGGGAAAGAAAAGATCACAGAGTAATTGTGGCCAGAGCAATAAGGGAGCTACAGAAGAGTCCTACTTACCCTTGGGATAGGGGGAGATTCAGTTCATCTACAACTGGGGATGGAAACCTCTGAGGTCCGGGGATATTTGAGTTTGGCCCTGAAAGGTCGGATCTTTGAAAGAATGACACGCTACAGGGAATACGGCTACTTTACAACTTTCAGTAATTAATTACAGTGCTCAATCTTGAATATGATGAATATTTTATCTGACAACATTATCCAAGCTTACTGGTTAAACTTTAATTCACTTTTCCATTAGTTCGACAGATATTCAGTGAGAATAAAGGCTTAAGAGAAAAAGTGGAGTGTTAGTAGTAATCAATGTTACGGGATCAAGAAGTATGAGAACATGTACTTAACCTTGGTGAAACAGAGCTCATTTGATGACTGCTGGGACTCTTACAATAGGATAATGATGAGAAATTAAACAACAACAACAACAAAATGGTTGCAAGGGCCCAGTGGACTGAGGTGGAGAGATACTGGTGGTGTGTATCATGTGGCAATACTGTACCTATAAAATATTTAAAAGTTGGCACTCTTCTAACCTGCACCATCTCAGTAAGAGTGAATAAGTAAAAACCAATTGGAGAGTGTTGAGAAGAGAATGGGATGGAGCTAAACATGCAGAACGAAATCAAGTGAGGGCTAAAGAGAGGTTGTATTGGTTTCGCTTCATTTATTTAAAAACGCCTATCCAGAGAGATAGTATATTTGGGTAGGACACTTTCCTTGTGTGTGGTTGATCCTGGTTCAATCCCTGGCACCCCAAGTGGTTCCCTAAGCCTGCCAGGATGGAGGAAGCCGTGAGTATCTCAGGGGTACATTCAAAACAAACACACAAAATCCCATCCACTTCAGTAGGAAGCCATCAATACAGTACAAGAGCTACACGTACAGTCAACAAATAAGCAACATGCAGATGGAAAAAAAATTCCACATCCTACAGGCAATATCACATATAAAAGTAAGTCAGTCCCCATAAGGAATAGATGACCTAATTGTGTGTGCTTGGTTGTGGATAGGGATTTTATATCATGTTGGGGGAGAGTGAGAGACTCGAAATGGTGCTGAGGGGTCTACAGGCCCTGTCAAAGGGTTTGGCCACATAGAAAGCATGCACTCTACCCCATGTCTCTCTCTGGCCCCTTCCATGGGGATTTAACGACTGATATGCTACCCAGTGGTAGGCTGGAGAGATAGCACAGCAGGTAGGGCGTTTGCCTTGCATGAGGCTGACTTGGGTTCGATTCCTTCATCACTCTCAAAAAGCCCGGCAAGTCACCGAGAGTATCCTGCCCGCACGGCAGAGCCTGGCAAGCTCCCCGTGGTGTATTCGATATGCCAAACACAATAACAAGAAGTCTCACAATGGAGACGTTACTGGTGCCCACTCGAGCAAATCAATGAGCAATGGGAGGATAGTGCTACAGTGCTACGCTACCCAGTGAGAATGAAGACACAAGCCTTAAGATGGCCAAACTGGATTTCAGGAAAAGGAGAATATTCACTAAAAAAAATACTCATTTCTTTCCCATCTGTGGAATTTTTCAGATGTTTCCCTAAAGTCATTTCCCAATACTGTTAACTGTCATTATATTGTGGCCCAACAATATAGTGGGCCACAATATGCCTAGCAACAATTCCTTGCTTGTTGCCTCCCATAGAACCGGCCCATTTCTTGCCAATGGGTGCAAGAGATGTGTTCAATCATTAACTTCCCCATGGCCTGTGTATGTGTAGGTGTGTGTGTGTGTGTGTGTGTGTGTGTGTGTGTGTGGTGGAGGGGAGGATGCTGAAGAATATTGGTCATCTGTTGAGAGCCCTGATGACCTGCAGCCCTCCCTGGTCAAGTGGAGTCTTTCTTCTACCTTGATATATGAGGGAAGCAGGAACTTGAGTCTGGCACCTTAGACCACTCAGCCATACTGACACACTGGAGCGATAGCACAGCGGTAGGGTGTTTGCCTTGCACACAGCCAACTTGGCCGAACGAGTTCGATTCCTCTGCCCCTCTCGGAGAGCCCGGCAAGCTACAGAGAGTATCTTGCCCGCACGGCAGGGCCTGGCAAGCCACCCATGATGTATTCGATATGCCAAACACAGTAACAACAAAGTCTCCAATGGAGACGTTACTGGGCCCGCTCGAGCAAATCGATGATCAACGGGAGGGCCTTTACCTTTACCTTTACGATATATGAGGAAAGAATAAATTCTCTTGTTTAAACTCTCCTGCTTTGTGGATTTCACTGTAAGAATAACTTAAATGATAATCTTAGCCAGGCTCACGGCATTAATCTTTCTTAGGAAGCTCAGTTTGTTTTCCTAAGAAAACAAAGAAACTCACAGTTTTCAGGTGTTTCCCTAAAGTCATTCCCCAATACTGATAACTGACATTATATTGTGGCCCAATGAGTTAGGATGAGTCCTATTCAAGAATCTGTATCATGAATGAGGAAGTTGGTAGGAACCAACTTCAATCACAATTTTCACAATGAGAGGATGATAAGGGGAAGACTGAGGCTGTTTTAAGTGCAAAGTTTTTACAGACTGGTCGGTACTTGTATCTACTAGCTGGAAGTTATGGAACAGGGGATTCACCTTCCCCTCTTACCTTGCCATCCATATATTCCAGCCATTGTAGTCCCAGGTTGGTGACAATTCTCGGAGTGCCATCATCTACAGGGAGTATGTCTATTTGGAATTGCTGAGGTGCCGCTGTCATAATCTGTGGGAGGAAAACAAACAAGGTAACATATTCCTCAGTCACATACAACTGAAATATGTCAAAACTGGGACCTACCAAGATGGGGGTGCTGAAAACTGTTCATACTACAGGAAGGACAACCGGCCCATTTCAAGGGCTTATACCTCTTAACCTGAGGTTTATGGGCAAAGACTAATGGGTAAAGTCATGCCAATATCAAAAGGAAAGCAAGAAACAGGTGGCATTCTTGCTAGGATTTCACCTGCCTTGGGCCTTGCTTCCCAAGCATTCGTTGAGGTCAGTTTTGTTCTGTGGTGCAAAAATAAACAAAATATTTTTCTTTCAATACTCTTGTGGACAAAAAAAAAATCATTGGAACGTAAAATCTGACTGTAGGTGGTATTTTTGCCAGATGGAGAGAGATCTCACGGGAAAACCTTTCTCTTTTTCAACTTAAAACAATATTTATTCATTTATTTTGGTTCGTGAAGAGGGATCGCATGCAGTGGTGCATAGAGGCTACTCCAGGCTTCGTGCTTGAGAGACTGCAGTTCGGGGGGGTCTCAGCTAGACCTCCCTTCTTTTTTGTTTTTTTTCCTTTGCTTTTTGGGTTACACCTGACGATGCTCAGGGGTTACTCCTGGCTCTGCACTCAGGAATTACTCCTGGCAGTGCTCGGGGGACCATATGGGATGCTGAGAATCGAACCTGGGTCAACTGTGTGCAAGGCAAACGTTCTATCCGTCGTTCTATTGCTCCAGCCCCTGGGCCTCCCTTCTGCAAAGCATGCACTTAGCCTACTGAGCTATCTCTCTGGTCCAAGAAAATTTCTTTCTTTCATTTATTTATCTGGAGTGTTTCATTTATTTATCTGGAGTGATAGCAAAGCAGTAGGGCATTTGCCTTGCGCGCACCCAGCCAGGCTGAGCCGGGTTCAATTCCTCCACCCCTCTCAGAGAGCCCGGCAGTCTACTGAGAGTATCTCGCCCACACAGCAAAGCCTGGCAAGCTGCCCGTGTTGTATTCGATATGCCAAACACAGTAACAAGTCTCACAATGGAGACGTTACTGGGTCTGCTCGAGCAAATCGATGAACAGTGGGAGGACAGTGTGACAGTGACATCTATTTATTTATTTATTTATTTATTGTGAGAAAGAGAGCCGCCCACATATGAAAGAAGAGGTAGGAGAAATCGAGAATGAAAACATTTATAGGAGTAGTGAAAAGGTTTGGGTTTACAACTTTATTTCCCTAGAGAGACGCAGGAAAAGAAAGGGGGGGGGGAGAGAACAGACACGGAGAGACCCGCCCGGCACTTTCTGAGCGGCCACCATGAGCCACCAGGCAGACAGGCCTGCTCAGTTTTCCTTTTGAGTCCTTGCCACTTTGGAAAATGACATGAGGCCTCCAGAGACCCGCCGTGACCTTTCCATTTCCTCAGAGAAGCAGCCCTCTGGTGGATTCAACCAGAAACCGTGATTCTCTTCTGCAAAGTCAAACTAACCAGGAATCAGTTCTCATTTTGGGAAAGCAAAGAAAAGTGATGACCTTTGGGCAAGGATGCAGCACGGACCTCCCGCTGTCAGGGACTCCCAGGCGTCATCCCCCTGCTGCGGCCCCTGAGACTGACCTTCGCAGACCTGTGGGACCAAGGGAGGCAGCGTGGGCAGAGCCAGCCGTCATTCAGTCAGGAAGGAAACGCTCCAGGGTGAGACGCGGACCCTGGTGTTACTCTGGGCGGGCAGGGGTGACTCACTGAAGCGGCTCTGCCGATTCCTCCAGATGGGATGAGACAGGGGTGGCCACGGAAAATTGTTCCCAGGGAGTGTGATGGGAGCACAGCAGCCCGCTAAGGATGGGTGAAGGAGGAGGATTTGCAGGGAAGGCAGCAGAGGGGGAATCTCGTTGGTCCTTTTGGACACCTTCTGTTCAAAGGGAGCAATTCTGTGAAGGGAGGTTTGATAGCTACTCAAGAGGAAAGCATCCTTACCTGCTCCACTAGTTGGTCCTAAAACGCTGTGATGGTGACCACAGCCAGTTTATTGGATGTTTTCGGTGTGTGAAGCACTGGGCTAAGAGCCTTAATGTACAACATGAGGGGTAGATATTATCCCCATTTTATAGATTGGGCCTAGAAAGATTATGGACATTGTTATGAGTATCCTAAAATATTCATAAGTGACATATGTGATGCCACAATAAGTGACATAGCCATATAAGTGAGAGATCCAAAATTAAAATCAGAATCATTTGTGATTTGATTTTTACTTTTTTTTTTTGGCCTTTTGGGTCACTCCCAGTGATGTCCAGGGGTTACTCTTGTTTCTGCACTCAGGAATTACTCCTGGCAGTTCTCTGGGGACCATATGGGATGTTAGGGATCGAACCCAGGTTGGCCATGTGCAAAGCAAACACCATACCTGCTGTGCTATCGCTATGGCTCCTCATTTGTGATCTGTTTTATTTTTAGACACATCTGGCCATGCCTGGGAGCTACTACCAGCCAGTGGGCTTGGGGGATCATGTGGTGCCAGGGATCAAACCTGAGCTTCCACATGCACATCAAGTGCTCGACCTCAAGTTGAGCTAGCTCTCTGAGTCTTGGATGCAAAAGTCAATTTTAATCACTGTTATTTCCCCCCAGACTTGAGTACTTGAGGGAACTCTAGAAAGACAATACAGAGTCAGATGATATTACAGAAAAACGAGATCAACTAAAAATAAAAGAAAAAAAAGAATGGGTGAAACAGAAAGGAGGAATAATAACAGTGATAATTATTAGCGTCCACTAATTCTCAAATGTGGGAGGCACCGGATTGAAGGACCCCCTTAGATCTGGAGATGAACGGAAGCCGGTGATCACTATGGTTCTGCTTTGACAATTGAAAAGCTGAAGTTTCTTTACTTATTTATTTACTTAGCATATATTTTGTGTATCTGTGCTTTGGAGACGTCAGTATCTGTGCTTCTGACGGTGCTCTGAAGCTCCACCTGGCTTGGAGCTCAGGGATGGTTAGTGGTAGTCTAAGGGGATGTTATGCTGTGCTGGGATTTGAACCAGTGTTGCAGTTACCACAGCTGTGTACTAGGCAAGCAGCACCTGAACCTTCATATTCTCTGTCAGCCCAGAGAAGATGAAGTTTAGAGATCAGAAGCAACACACCAGCCCAAGACCAGTGAGTAAGCAACAGAACAAGATCTCCAACACTGCTCCACTGGTCCTGAAATCCCCTGCCCACATCTATGGGCTTTGCCAGCCTCCCTGTCTAAATCCCCGCCTCTCACCTCCTTCTCTCCCTCCTGGACAATGAAGAAGGGGTTGGTGCCATCAGTCACTGTGAAGGCAAACCGGTCCTTGAGGGAGTTGCTGCCGTCGTGGTTGTAGCTGACCCGGTTCTGGTAGATGTCCTCCATGGTGAAGGTGGAGGTGTGCTGAGAGCGTGGCCCGATGCCAGCTCGCTCGATGGTACCGTGGCGCGGTGACTGTGTGATGGTGAAGGTGATGAAACCGGCCTGAGGGGGTGGCAGGACACAAGAGGAGAAGGGAAAAAGAAGACCAGTGAAGGATGGTCCATGAACATGAATACACGAAGGGGAGCATTTTCTTTATAAGCGCGAAAAGGTAAAGGTAAAGGCCCTCCCGTTGATCGTCGATTTGCTCGAGCGGGCCCAGTAATGTCTCCATTGGAGACTTTGTTGTTACTGTGTCTGGCATATCGAATACTCTAGGCAGCTTGCCGGGCTCTCCGAGAGGGGCGGAGGAATCGAACTCGGGTTGGCCATGTTGGCCGCTTGTAAGGCGAACGCCCTACCTGCTGTGCTATCGCTCCAGCCCGAAAAATGAAGTTAAAAGGCCAGAGTGACAGTACAGTGGGTAGGGCGCTTGCCTTGCTATAAACGACTCAGATTCAAAATGACCCTTTTCAAAAATGATTCCTGAGAACAAAGGCAGGAGTAAGCCCTGAGCATAGGCCGATGTGATCCTCAAAACCAAAACTAAAAATAATATGAAACTTCCCCAGAATTGAACTTATATTTAGGTGTCTTCAGTTGTAAGACAATTGAAATGTGTCCTTTAAGAGTCTCAGTCTTATGGTGATAGAAATCAAACCTTTTGAAATAATTTCCTTTCCACTCATTTCTCCCCAGTTTCCCAAAACCTCTCTTCTGGTTTTTGGTTTGTTTTGGTTTGGGGGACCCAGAAGTGCTCAAGGTTTACTTCTGGCTTTGTGTTCACGAGTCACTCCTGGCAGTGCTTGGAGAACCATTCGGGGTGCCAGATATTGAACCTGGGTGAGCAGCATGCAAGGCAAGTGCCTAAGCTCTGGGCTATGTCTCTGATTCCTCATTCTTATATAGATAATCCCACATGCCTTTGAGCTAAAGCTAACTTTCTAATTGCTATTTCAAATGTGACATGGAGAAGGAAAAAGATGAGTAGAAAACTTCGCTCAAGATTCCTCAACGATTTCCACCAACTTAGGATAAGATGCAAAGGCCTCCTGTGGGCCAAGAAGGCTCTTCATCTGCCCTTCCACCTCTCTCTGCTCTCACTTTCCTTTCCCCAAACCGTGTGCTCACTGGGTTGCAGCTCCTGGTCTCCTAGATGTCATTCATGGGACCCAGGCACACTTGGAATTTGTTGGAACTTGAGCACGGCCTTCTGCACTTCTGGTTCTGCTCAGAGTAAATAACCCCCCCCCCCCCCAAAAAAAAAACCCACAGAACTTGCTCTTTCACTTCATGCTGTCTCTGCTAAAAACCGTCAGCTCTGGGCTTGAGGATGTGATTTGGGGGCAGCGGCCTACTTTGCCTGCATTCTAGCTCCAAGACCACCCCCCACCACAGAGGCCTTCCCAGACCACTGGTGAAAAGAAACACACCCACTGAGTGCACTGGCCACTTTATTTATTTATTTTTTTGGTGGGGAGAGTGGTTTTAAATAATTTAAATTCATTTTTAAAAATTGAATCACAGTGAGATACACAGTTACAAAGTTGTTCATGATTGGGTTTCAGCCATATAATGTTCCAAAATCTGATACTTACCACTTTAGACAAGATGTTATAGATCCCCTCTTTGCCCCTCTGTTCCCATAACTAAAAGGTGTACGCTCCTATGGCTTTTTCTGTTCCTAGCTGCAGAATGTCACACTAAGTATGGAATAAATATTTTCTGAGAGACTGAATGTATGAATGAGTTCCGCTGGATGGAAGGTTGTGTATAGAACTGATTAGTAAGGGCTGTAAAGGGAGTGAATTATGTCACCATGTTAGATACTTCACTCTGAACGTATCATGAGAATAAGAGTGGAGTTTCTACATTTCTCTTCTATTATACAAAGTTCATTTACTGGAGTGTGCACTAATAGTAATGAGTTGACATCCAGAGAAACTGGAATGATGGGGCAGAAGGTCATGGAGGAGAAAAGTCTTCCTCATTCAGGTAGAGAATTTTAAAAATGGGTAAAATACCACCTATCTAATTTTCTACAAGGATGTTAATTTATAATAATGTGCATCTGGAAGTTACACAGTGTTATCATGTCACATAACTTCAATCAAGATTTAAAAAAACAACTTGTTAAAAGATTGTCAGATGTAAGTGGAACAAAAGATAAATGCATCATCTACAGTTTCAGAAAGGAGTTGATGGGGTCAGAGAGATAGTACTGCAGATAAGGGGCTTGCCTTGCATGCAGCTGACTGAGATTCTGTCCCCGGCATCACACAAGGGCCCCTGGGCACTGCCAGGAGAGATTCCTGAATGAGGACACAGGAGTAACCCCGGAGCACCGCTGAATGTGACCCCCAAACAAAACAAAACAAAACAAAACAAAACAAAACAAAACAAAATAGGAGTTGATTGCCACTCAAAGCCTCTCTTGCAAAACACAGTACCCAAAAGAAGAGAGAGAGAACAAGGGGGAATACCCTGCCACAGAAGCAGGATGGGACGGGGGGGGGGGGGGATGAGGGTGGGGGGGATGCTGGGACCCATGGGGATGGATGACGGGCACTGGTGGAGGGATGGGGACTTGATCATTGTATAACTGAAACCCAAGCACAAAATTTGTAAGCCTATAACTGTACCTCATGGTTTTTCACTAATAAAAAAAACAAAATAGGAGTTGAAACAAACCACTTGTTCCCAAATGTATCTACTGTACTTTGTCTGAAGGCCATGGTATCTTCTGCGTTTCAGTCCTTCAAGGAGGCCTGTGCTGACCCCAACCCCAAGATGCACATACGCAGAGTGACAGATGGCACCCCCTGGGACCCTCACTCACTCACACAGAGCCGCACGCACTCACCTCGGTGTCTGCATCCACCGCCTTCAGCTCGAACTCTGTAATGGTCTTCCTCACTCCCTCCTGGACTCGCAACCCCGTGGTCTGGACAATGGGCAGCGAGTCATCCACAGGGCGAATGGTGATGTGAAACGTCTGGGTCACCTAGAGTGGCAGACAAGTGCAGGTGGGATTGGTGCTTCTCTCTCTCTCTCTCTCTCTCTCTCTCTCTCTCTCTCTCTCTCTCTCTCCAGTGCTGGGATGATTGCCTGCCCGGAACCCCAAATGCGCTCTTTGTGAGGAGAGTCAGTGACGATGCCCCGTGCTGGTGTGCACTGGGCAGAGGAAAATGGTGTTGAATCAATAGCCACACTAGGAGGGAATCAGGGCATCCTCCTACCTCATGGACTCCGTCAGATAATGTAAAGCTGAAGGCATCGGAATGTTTTTCGGTCTCACTGGAATGGACATACTGGACATTCCGTGACATCAGGTCAGCTTGAGTAAAGGAAGTGATCCGGAGTCCTGGCGACGAGGAAGAAAGAGCATTAGGCATTCTTCTAAGGCTAGGAAGATGCTGTTCGCTCACCTGATAGAGCCTTTTGCATTCTCCTAGTGTCCATATGCTTCCGCCCAAGACCCCGAGATAGACTTGCTGGTGTGTTTTATTTTCTCCAGCAGCATATGTTCGGTGGGAGCATGATGTTAACTTAATTATCTTGGCTCTGCCACGTGCCAAAGCAACAGCAGCTGCTCCATGAATGTTATTCTCCTTTCTCTTGGGGTTTATGTCTGCAGGTCAAATCTCTGAAAGGTAGAGTCATTCCTCTCTTCTCCAAACTCTTCTCATTATATTTTATGTTTCCCTCATAGTCTTTAAGACCTTCCTAAAAATCTGCTCTGACTTTAACATTGACGCATGAGCTTCTGAGCACGGCAGTCTCAGGACTTAGCTAGAGAGAGCCTTCCCGTGGTGATGGGGAGCCATTGGCAGCCAGCCTACTTTCAGGGGACACGCTCCAAGTCTGTCACCTCCCAGGGCTCTCTGCCTCTGGTACCCATAGAACATAGCAGCTAGGCTGCCAATGACCAAACTTACCCGGGGACTTGGGAGTTTGGGAAAATCTAAGTTATATCAAATCTAAAATCAGCTGGAGAAGTAGCATCCTTTAAATACTATGATGTAGCACTTTAGCACTGTCCTCCCGTTGTTCATCGAGTTGCTTGAGCGGGCCCAGTAACGTGTCCATTGTGAGACGTGTTGTTACTGTGTTTGGCATATCTAATACGTCATGGGGAGCTTGCCAGACTTTGCCGTGTGGGCGAGATAATTTCCATAGTTTGCCAGGCTCTCCGAAAGGGGTGAAGGAATCAAACCCGGCTCGGCTGGGCCGACCACACGCAAGGCAAATGCCCTACTGCTGTGCTATCACTCTAGCCCACTATGATATAGTGGGTCAAAATATAAACAGGAATATTCCATTTTGTTTCTTTCAGAATCAGTTTCAAAATAAAAAAAAATAAAGAAAACGACTTTATTTTATTTTGGTTTGGGGGCCACACCTGGAGGTTCTCAGGGCTCACCCTGGCTCAGCACTCAGGGAGCACTTCTTGCTGGGACTTCGAGAAACATATAGGGTGCTAGGGATTGAAACCGCGCCAGCTACATTCAAGGAAAGTATGCAGCATGCTGTATTATTGCCCAGCACTTACAAAATGCCTTTGACAAGGTCGAAATAGCCCACTAATGACTAACACATCAATGTAAACTCATTTGATTGCTATAGAGGCCACTCCTAAGAGAAGTGTGTGCTGGGGCCCCCAGACCCACACCAAGCTGCAGGTGCTCAGGGGTCCCAAGGGAAATACCTGGCTGTGCCATGGAGTGTCAGGGATCAAACTCAGAAACTTTAGCATACACCGTGCTCTCCCACTAGCACTATTATTCTTAGTTAACATCTATTTAAAATTTTAATTTATTCTCTTTTTATCCCCAAATTTAGACACTGTGATTTTTTTTCTTGAATCACTGTAAGATACAGTTACAAAGCTTTCATGTTTGAGTTTCAGTGATACAATGATCGAACACCCATCCCTCCATCAGTGCACGTCCTCTACCACCAATGTCACCATTTTATTCCCCCAACTTTCCAATCCTCCCCCTACCTCCATGGCAGACAATTTCCTCCATACTCCCTCTTTACTTTGGGACACTATGGTTTGAAATAGAGATACTGACAGGCCATCATGTTTGGTCCTTTATCTACTTTCAGCACATATCTCCCCTCCTGGACAATCCCTCCAACCATCATTGACTTAGTGATCCCTTCTCTACTCCAGCTGCCTTCTCTCCCAGATCATGAGACAGGCTTCCAACTATGGTCCTTGTGTCTACTGTCCTTGAGTAGACACTGTGACTTACAATACTACTAATAATTGAATTTCATACATACGATGTCACAGCACCACACCCAACACCACAGTGTCAGTGTCCTTCTGTCAGTGTCTCACGGTCCCCTTCCACCTACCCACTCCTCCCTGTTGACAAACTCAATGTTGTATGTTGGTCAACACCAAGAGTCATTTACTATTAGATATTGCTATTTCCTTTCTATGTTTCTTCATGTTCCACGTGTTTTTTCTCTTCCCTCTGACCTAAGACTAGCTTCCAACCTTCTACTCCTTGAAGATTTTTTTCTTTTTTTTTTAAGAATCAGATAGGAGCGATTAGGGTATTGCCAACCCTAATCATATAGAGATGTTAATCATAAATCACATGAACTCCAATCATCATGTTCTATCTGCTCCCTGAACAGAGAAACAGAAAACGGTTGTCCTACCTCATGATCTCGTCAAAGGCTCTTAATTGAAAAATTAAGTGATCATCACATGTCTGTTTTTAAGTGTCCACCAATATTTAGCAAAACAGCCCAGAATTCTTCTATCCTAGGGCTTCATTCTCTGGAGCTAGCCAAGGCTGAAATATAATCTTATTTTTTAGTTCCTCAACATACATTTCCTTTTTCTGATTCTAGCTATTGGGATATTAATCCAGTGCTTTGGCCTGGTTCTGAGATTCATGTGCTACTTCCTGGGATTTATTGTTTGTCACTGCTAATCCTGGCAAAACCAGTTGGGCTTTCCTGTAAAATAACAGAGAGACTCGACTCCGGTTGCTTTACACTTAACTGTGACATCAATATCACTGCTTTATCTAAAAACAAAAATCCACGGCAGGGTTTATATTTGCATCTCTATCATCTGAAATTTGTCACCCAGATACAATAGCCTCCTGGATATTGAAGCATTAATTTTTTGATGAGGCATTTTATATTTCTGGGCTTGCTACATCAGCTCTTGACAAGGAAAAAATGTAGCCCTCTGTCTTCTAGCTTTGTCTTGTGACTCTGGACAGAAATCTATACTGTTCTTTAAAAATTTAATAACTTCAGGCTGGTTGCACTGAAAATTTAAATCTCTGGCCCTGATGTGAATCCATCCTCACAGCTCATGGGAAAACCTGTCTCTGGATTCCCACAGTTAACTGGTCACCCCATTTATTCTTCTCTGTATGAGTCAGACTGATTAAGGAATATGATAGATCTCTTTCCTTCCTCTTGGGTTGGAAGCTCTAAAATTGATCTTATTTTTAAAAGAACATTTTTTTTACATAGAGTAAATTGGCATGTAATAAATTGCAGATGATTAAAGTATATAATTTCATGACTCTCACATATCTATGAAACCATCACCCTAAACATAAGAGTGCATATATCGATAACCCTAAAGCTTTCAACAGTATAACCTTCCAACCTTCCCTTTCTGTCTTACTGCATAGCATCAAATGAATTATCTTTTGTCACTGTTAATATCTGGCATTTTCTCTAATTTTTAATTTATTTTTATTTTGGGTTTAGGGACACATCTGCTGGTGCTCAGCTTACTCCTGGCTCAGTAGTCAGGGATCGTTCCTGGCAAGAATTAGGGGACTATATGGGGTGCCAAGGATATTATATATTATATATTAATTAAACCCAGGTTGTCCACGTGCAGGACAAACTCTCTACCCACTGTACTTTCGCTCTGCCCCCTTCTCTGTTTTTGAAGAAAACGGTCACGGTCACTGTCCTCCCGTTGTTCATCGATTTGCTCGAGAGGGCCCAGTAACATCTCCATCGTGAGACTTGTTGTTACTATGTTTGCCATATTAAATACATCGCGGGGAGCTTGCCAAGGTCTGCTGTGCAGACAAGATACTCTCGGTAGCTTGCCGGGCTCTCCAAGAGGGGTGGAGGAATCGAACTTGGGTCGGCCATGCTGGCCGCTTGCAAGGCAAATGCCCTACCCGCTGTGCTATCACTCTAGCCCTTGAAGAAAACACAGTCACAGTCCTCCCGTTATTCATCGATTTGCTCGAGCGGGCCCAGTAACGTCTCCATCGTGAGACTTGATGTTACTGTGTTTGGCATATCGAATACGTCACAGGGAGCTTGCCAGGCTCTGCCGTGCAGGCTCGATACTCTCGGTAGCTTGCCGGGCTCTCCGAGAGGGGCGGAGGAATCGAACTCGGGTCGGCCATGTTTGCTGCGTGCAAGGCAAATGCCCTACCACTGTGCTATCACTCCAGCCCTTGAAGAAAACATTATAGTCATATTGTTCTAGGCCTCTTTTATCCTGTCACTATTTTTTTTATTTTGAAATTTACTCCTATCCTAGCATGTACTCATTCCTTTTGATTACTGAGTAATATTCTATGGTGTAGATATATTTGCCTATTTGTGAATATTTAGACTATTTCCAGCTTGATTATAAATAGATATGCCATTGACATAAAATCCAGCTCCCGGATGAGAACAGTGCAGTCTCCTGCCCCCGCGCCTGGCTGTTCCTTGCCGGGGCCCCTTGGAGGGGAGCGGGTTGAGCTTTCCTCCCTGCCCCGACCAGGGCTTCAGCAGCCGAAGACCTCCAGGACCAGCCACCACCATGCTGAGACCACTCTCCGCACACATGAAGGTACTGGCAGAGGGACAAATCCACGCGGGTTCCGGGGCCGAGATCTCCAAGCCTACTCGGATTGGAGTCGAGCATCCTCCACCAGATCCTCCAAATTCCTGTAGGCGGGGGTCACACCCACCACCTGGCCCCCTGGCGCCGTGTAATCCCATCAACGGCCAAGACTCAGAGACTATAAAATCCAGCTCCCGGAACCGCGCGGCCGCGCGACATCTTATCAGGACATCTTTTTTATGACATCTTATTATCTCATTCCTACTTTGGACAAACATGCAGGCTATCGAATGTAGCCTGCCCACAGGGCAGAGTCTGGCAAACTCCCCATGGCATACCAAATATGCCAAATACCAGTAACAATGATGGGTCTCATTCTCCTAAAGAGCCTTGAATATAATCTCAGGGCTAGGATGAAAGAGACGTTACTGGGGCCTGCTCGAGGCAATCGACGAATATGATGAGATGCCATTGACATTTATGCATAAACCTTTGTATAGACATAAATTACTATTGTAAGGCAAATTTCTAAGACTAGAATGGTTGGGATATGTCTGGCATGTGTTTGGCTTTATAGAAAATCGCCAAGCTCTACTTCAGTGATGTCACGATTTTTCCTCCAAGAATCTATAAATAATAGCTGTGGGGCTGATCTTAGGAGGTCTTTACCCGTTCAATCCAATAGTCAGACCAGCCACAACATGCAATGACTTCTGTTTTCAATCCTCCAATGACTGAGAGGCCACAGTGGGCAGATTACCTTAGTTTTGATTATAACACTGCAGCAAAATTAGAAAAGCCAAGGTCACAGAGCTAATAAGAGGAAGGTATTGAGACTGGAACTCAAGGTTGGATATGCTTGCTAGAAATTTATTTTGAACTTCTCTAGCCTCTTCAGCTAAAGAACCTCTTGGATTTCACCCTCATCCTTTAATTCCTTCCAATATGCAAATGATATATGAAAACAAATGTGAACAGGCATAAAAGTGAAGGATCACAGAAAACACTCACAGACTTAACACTCAAATGTCATCATCATTATAGTTTCGAATTGAACTGTTTCTTCTAAGATAGTTTCCTGTCTAATCACCTTTGACTAGATTGAGATTATTGATTTTGATAGAGTTTATATTATCAATACTTATTAAGTGATAGAGGTTAACAAGCTAAAGCTATAGTGTAAATTTCAAGAGGACAAGGATATTTGGGTTGTTTCTCCACTAGCCTGTACCCTGAAGAATGTGTGAAACCCAAATTGGTCAGTAAATTTAATTTATTCGTGATAATTGATATCTGAGACGTGTTACACCCAAACTGCCCAATCTTCATCCACTTCCAACGTTGTTTAGTCTCTGCTAATTGGGTACAGGAAAGCTCTAGTTACTCACTCACCAGCAAGAAGGCGCTTCAAGTAACATATTGTCCCTGCTGGCTGTCACAGAAGGTAGTTACTGTTTGAAATATCTTGAAGGCTTTTAATCTCGTGGAAGGTGTTTTCAGTCACCAACCTGCTGGCTAAACTATGTATCTGTCAGTATTACGGAGACCCGCATTAACCCTGTCAGTTTTTCCAATTCCCCTGGAGCCAGCACATTAGAGGAAGCTCAGGCCAGGTCAGAGAAGTGAGAGAGGAACAAAGCGTCTCTGAAGAAGCTGCCTTCCTAATAGGAGGCTCGGTGGCCGCCCTGTTTTCAGAGCAGATGGCTGTGTGCGTGACGTCTGGGTCGTGCCTCAAGCTCGCGTTGTGGGAAACTCGCACTTCTCCTGCCTCCCATTTCTTCAGAGCCCCGTGTTAGGGGCTTACCTGTGTCCTCCTCAACTCACACACTGAAGTGCTGACCCTCAGTCCCTCACAACATGCCTTTATATTTGGACATGAGATCCCCGCAGATGCAGTTTGTTAAAATGGGGTTGTCGGACCAGCCCTAATGCACCGCGACGACTTTCTCTATACAAGGGGAAATATGGACGTAGATGAGGAAGGGCCAGGAAGGCGAGCAAGGTGATTGAGCTGGGGAAAGCCCCTTCCCTAGGAAGGAACCCCCGTCCCTGCACCGACTCAGGCCTCCAGCCCTAGATCGGGAGAGGAGCCTCTCTGTGGCTTGAGCCGCTCCGTCGAGGCAGCCTAGTACTGCTCTGTGTTAAGGGCTTGCTCGCCACCGGGCCCAGCGCCGAGCCGAGAGCACGGATGGAAGAACAGCTTTGCGAGAGCAGTGCCTCTGGGGAAGGACTTCCCTGCTCCCCCAGTCCTCTGTCGGCTGGACCCTCGTCTTTGGTCAGGTCTCAGAGCTGTACTCTACACAGCGACTCTATACAGACTTGCCACTGAGGGGGAAGAATTGAGCGAGGGAGGGAAGGAAGCTTCTCTGGCAGGAGGCGGTACTGGCGCGGTGAGCCCAGGCCCAGGCGCCCCCTGACTTCTCTGGGCAGGGCCTGGGTGTCACTGTGTTCTAGACACAGTTCACACAAGGCTGAAAACAGTGTAGGTACCAGGAAAATAGAAAGAACAACCAGAAAATAGAAAGAACAATCAGAAAACTTTCTTGGACCTGGGCTGGAGCCATAGCACAGCGGGAGGGCATTTGCCTTGCACGCAGCCAACATGGTCGAGGCTGAAAACAGTGTAGGTACCAGGAAAGTAGAAAGAACAACCAGAAAATAGAAAGAACAATCAGAAAACTTTCTTGGACCTGGGCTGGAGCCATAGCACAGCGGGAGGGCATTTGCCTTGCACGCAGCCAACACGGTCGACCCGAATTTGATTCCTCCGCCCCTCTTGGAGAGCCCGGCAAGCTACCGAGAGTATCTCGCCCGCACGGCAGAGCCTGGCAAGCTACCCG